TGTTACTGAGGTCTCTTTCTCTCTCTCTCTCGATGTATCTATGCATAATCTTCAATGGAAACCATTTTTTGTTTGTTTCTTGAAGATCTATAATGTTTGATTTTGGTGAAAGGTTGTGAGGTCTGGAGATTTGATCTCTTATTGTGCTGAAGAAGGTGTTAGGATCTTAGGTGAAGGGAAGTTTCTGCTCTCTGATAGCTTCCCTGGTAATGAACGTACTAAGTACTGTCTCACTTCCAAGGTATACTCTCTTAAATTCATATGTCTCCTCCATCAATGGTTCAAGTTTTAACAAATGTTTTGATCAAATTATGTGTTTTATTTCCTGAGCTACAGATTCCACTTGGTGTGGTTTTGGCTATTCCTCCATTCAATTATCCAGTCAATCTCGCTGTATCCAAGATTGCTCCTGCTTTGATCGCTGGAAACTCACTTGTCCTCAAACCTCCAACTCAAGTAACTAAAATACTTTACCTCTCAACAAAACTCTACATTCTTTTAGAGTGATGTTTCAAAATATTTTAACGGTCGATTTCTTTAGGGAGCTGTTTCTTGCCTTCATATGGTGCATTGCTTTCACTTAGCTGGTTTCCCAAAAGGTCTCATTAGCTGCATTACCGGAAAAGGCTCTGAGATCGGAGATTTCCTCACGATGCACCCTGCTGTGAACTGCATTAGGTATATACATATTCAACAACACAGGTTATGTTCCTATTAACTACTTAAATATCAGATGACCGGTTTTCAGTTTCACTGGTGGTGATACCGGAATCTCAATCTCCAAGAAAGCTGGTATGATTCCTCTTCAAATGGAACTTGGAGGAAAAGATGCATGCATTGTCTTGGAAGATGCTGATCTTGATTTAGTCGCTTCCAACATCATCAAAGGAGGATTCTCCTACAGGTAAAAAATCTACAATGAGTGTAATTAACCGATATATTGGATTATGAGTTAACCGGTTTAATCAACCTTAAACAGTGGGCAGAGATGCACTGCGGTTAAGGTAGTGCTAGTGATGGAATCAGTGGCCGATGAGCTAGTTGAGAAAGTGAAAGCTAAAGTGGCCAAACTCACGGTGGGACCTCCTGAAGAGAACTGTGATATAACGGCTGTGGTGTCAGAATCTTCAGCCAATTTCATTGAAGGATTGGTGATGGATGCTAAGGAGAAAGGAGCAACGTTTTGCCAAGAGTATAAAAGAGAAGGTAACTTGATTTGGCCTTTGCTTTTGGACAATGTTAGACCGGACATGAGGATCGCGTGGGAGGAACCGTTTGGTCCTGTCTTGCCTGTCTTGAGGATCAATTCTGTTGAAGAAGGCATTAATCATTGCAATGCTAGTAACTTTGGCCTCCAGGTAATAGAACTTTTGGCTATTTGGGTTTGGTTTAGTCTAGTTTTCACTTAACCGGAGCTAACCAAACAATTTCATTTTGAAGGGATGTGTATTCACAAAAGACATCAACAAGGCAATGATGATCAGTGATGCAATGGAGACAGGAACCGTTCAGATTAACTCTGCTCCAGCTCGTGGACCAGACCACTTCCCTTTCCAGGTGAATCATCGATTTCTGGACCATTATTCACCTCGTTTATGACCGGTTAGCTAACTCGGTTTTGGATTCGAATAAGCAGGGACTAAAGGACAGTGGAATAGGATCACAAGGAGTGACGAATAGCATCAATTTGATGACTAAAGTGAAGACCACTGTCATTAACTTGCCTACACCTTCTTACTCTATGGGTTAGTTTCCCTCTATGTTTTTCATCTTAGAATCAAATCAATCGGTCTTGTTTCTATCGGATTGAATCGAATAAAAATGGAGTGATTAGCGTAACAATTGTGGTTTGTAATCTCTATGTAATCAATAAGAGGATATTGCTTTAGTATAACATATAATGTAATGCAAAAGATTCTGAAGAGGGAGTGAGAGATTGATTGTGTTGTGTTATAACAGGAGCCGGTTTCATCTCACGACTGTGATTGAAGCACAAAGATCCTTTTTGAGCTTTGATGAGTCTAGAGTTAATAGTCTTTTTTTATTTTTTCATCTTGAAATAACATTTGACACCAATCTCATCGATTTCTCCGATGGAATATTTCAAAAAAGACAAAAACAAATTCTTAAAAAACAAAAAAGACGAAAACAGGAATGAAAATGACTTTATTTATTCAGTTCAAAATAAAAAAATGACTTTATTACAATAATAGAGTATATTATTTCAGATGGTCTCGATTCTCGAAAGTACAAACTGTTCAAATGAAAATTCACTTGGGGAAAAAAGGTGTGAAGTTCTCTGACCCTGGCCATCTTTTACCAAAGATGAACACACACCAATGGTTGGAAAGGGGAGTTGTGTTTTCTTTTTTTGTTGGTTAAATATGGTCGTCTGATAAAAAAGTCGCAAAATTAAATAGAATAGTTTGTTCCAAACAACTCTAGAGATTTCATTAACAATATATCGAAGTCCAAAAAGAAGAGATAAATATTTCAAAAATTCAGTTTATAGTTGATTGATGTAAGAAAGTCTACTCTCAAGTCGCATTTCTCATCCTTGCTTGCATTAGACATTGAGACATTACCATTTCTTTTTCTTTTTTAATATGATCACCAAATTATTAGGTGGAAGAATATCCTAATGGTTGTGGAAGTGTAATGCTCTCTCATTCCAATTTAAATTATTTAGTTACACTGAAAGTAATAGTTATTATACAATACTATTAAGAATTTTGTCAAATTTATTTGGCGTGAGGCATGAATGTGAGTTTTGTCTCGAGCTGACTAATCCTCCTCTTTCTCTCATATTGGAAGTAATCAAAGGTTTTTCTGTGTACTCGAGGTACAAATGCTCCAACGTACATGTGCATTTTAATGTTTGTTGGGATCAACGAGGCTCAAATAGTAGTTTGCATGCCGATCATCTAGAAATGTAAGCCTGTTATTACGGTTCTGTGGAGCCCTTGTTTTGCATGTCAATGCCTTGGGCTCACCGCATGTGTTCGTAGCGGATTAAATATTATGTTGACAATCTTATAAAAATTTGCGACAAATCATTGTATAACTGTGATAGGACCGTCTCAAAATATAAGCTATTTTCAGATTCTTTAGTAAACGTATATTTAGTGTGGTATATATATATTAAAAATATAAGTACTACTTCATATATATAGTTAAAATTTTATTTAAATAAAATTTACCTACGGGTATTCATGTACTTTTAAAAACTTTTTTTTCAAAAAAATTCGACAGAATAAATAAAAGTTATATATATATATATATATATATATATATATATATGTGATAAAATTAAATTATATGAGATAAAAATTCATGTTTAGGATATCAATTTGTTTAAAAGTAGATAAACAGAGATGTTGAAAGTTTATGTAGAGAAACATTATGGAGAACATCATCATGTAACTTATCACCATTTTTTCTCTAAAAAAATTAACCTCAAAATTTGACCCAGAGATAAAATAAAGTACAAAAGAGATTAGTTCAGTAGAAATTTCCTCACACTAAAGACATCCACACGGAATGGGAACTTCGTTAGAAACTGAGACTTTTCTTTATCATAAACTTAATTCTTGGCTATAATTCTCTCACGTTAGTATCGTTTTCTTTTGAACCACAATATTTGGTATTTCCAATCTAATAATCATGTTTCCTCAAACCTTCAATACATCACTCGCTAAAAGGTATAATAAATGCATTATTCATATCGTTTTCTTACTTATATAATTCACCTTATCAAATTCAGAATTCCGTGAAGCCATTTATGAGGATCAAAACCAATTATATATTATCTTTAGTTTTATTTCTCCTTAGACACATTTACTAATTTATGTGGAATATGCGGATTGAGGTGTAAAGGAAGAAATGACAAAGACGTATACCAATATATATATATATATATATTTATCTCTATTATTTGTTCAGAAGAATGTGAGAAAACATTTTTTATGACTTCGATTTACTTTATATAGAACAAACAAAAACAACTAGGATCATATTTTAATTTTAAGTACTTCTAATCTTCTATGTCTTAATCCCTGATTAGAATATTATTATTTCATCGATCTCCCTCTCTAGCTTTGTTGTCTAGTACATTAATTATTTGACCAACATTTGCAATTAATAATAAATGAGTGTAATTAAAGCTCATCTTTCTCTCCGCTTGTGAGTTTGTGCAAACGCAGAATGTCCCATGTGCTTAATCACGCAGAATATTTTACTAAAACTAATCCCATTACTATACTTACTTAAATAGCTTCATACTATATGAATATGTATTCGTATAATATGCAAAATAGCCTTTTATAACTTGTGATCTTGTAAAACCTAGAGTTGGCTATTTATATTTAACATTGATTACATTGATTTCCTCACAGAATCAAACAGAGATTTTTAAATTAAAGTGATACTCCTTTCATTTTCTTAAATATAATGTTTCTTACATATGAAAAAATCGCATTTAACATTTTTTGGGTCGAAGGCATATAACATTTATTAAACTTTTTTAGCTAATAAATATTAGTTTTAACCGAAACTAAAATTTTATTTTATCATTTCCTAACCTATAAGCGAATACGCAAACACAAGACATGCATGTACCCCCTAATATTGTTTTTCTTTTCTTTTAAAAGAAAAAATGTTCCTAAGATTGTTGGTTTATAAAGCACGTTATGTACGTATTTCATTTGTGCGTATATGCAATACACACATGCACATACGTATAGGCATACCATTTCTCAATTGAGCCAACTTAACTATAATTGATATGTGTAACATGATAGATCCGTCCCTGAGCATACATGAACGTAGATGGCCATATATATATATATTTTGAACCTTATGACCATATATATTTGTTCATTTGTTATAAACTCGATAAAACTATTCAATGAACTAGGTTTCAAGGTGCAAACCAATACATTAATTTTATATAAAAATATATATATATATATATATACATATATATACAGATACACATGTGCTGCTGTGCATGATTGTCTGATACGTGTGCATAACATGAAAAGATACATGCAAACATATGTACTTATATAAGTATATACTTTGAAGAATGAAGAATTTTGTTATCTAAAGTATAAGAAAAATTCGTGAAAAAAAGATTTTAAATCTTATATAACTTAAAATTAAATCTAATTAACTATATGTAAATTTTAATTTAAAAAAAAATATATATTCTGAAACCGAATTTTAATCTTTAGAAAATATATATTCTGTTTTTTTGTTATTTTTTCTTCTTTTTAAAATAAATAACTAATAATTAGAAAAGTTTATATCTTTTCATTGATAAATATTGCAATTTAAATTAACAATAATATATATCACAAGCTAGGAATTTTGATATAATTGTATGTATCATGTTTACTTTAACGCATTCAACATTACCAAATTTCATCTTTAGAATCTATTTATTATATTTTGTAATAATTAATTTCAAATTCGGGAGTATCATTTTTGGGATAGGATGTTTGGGATCTTGGGGACAAGGCAAAACAATAGAGTTTCGAGAGAACACTTGTGATGGAGTTGAGCATCATTGATGAATGTACCAAATCGAGTTTAATAATTATTGCTTAGATATTTGTCATCGTGAAAAGATTATAAAAAACATGAGCATTATACTTGATTCCCATCTAGTATTATATATATAGATATAGATAATATGTTTAACTTTTATGAATAGTTTGTTATTATACATTTTGTGCAAATGGTTGTGATTAGAAGAAATAGTGGAATAATACATGGAAAAGACTGGAACAGATATGATGGAAAAATATTCGCCACTCGCTCCTCTTGAAATTAGTAGAGAAAATAAAAAAATCATAGTTTTGATATTTGTAGATTTGAGGTGTTCTTAACACTTTTTTAAAAATAATTTAGCTTTGACCTCTCCTTTAACTATTTAGAAGTTCCATTAGAGTCTTATTTCATCTCATATATCATTTTACTAGGAAAGATATCATTCATTTGCATTGGACTTTAGTCTCTCTTTAGGTGTACGTAAGAGGATGGAATAAGGTGAGGAATCAAAGAACCTTGCGTTTGGGATGAAGAGAAGCTGTGATCGGTCGTTTGAAGAGAATCATAGGCACCATTCCAGAGAGCAAAATGAAGATGCGATGGGATGGTGCTCATATGTATAAGATTTATAATGTATAAAACTCTCGATTTCTATCAGTGTCATTGGTTGGTACTACTTGATATTACTTAGACAAAATCAACCCCAATAAGACTAAAATTATCATATTTGGAACAAAGAGATGAGAGAGCTAATTTCAAGAGGTAACAGATGCACGGATAATCATGGGCGTACAATCATTATCATATAAAGGTGCCAAACAATCAATGTTTCAACAATTCTCAGAAATACTACAAAAACAAGTTTGGGATCCAAAAATGACACTCAATTTTAAAAGTTCCATTAGTAGCACAAATTCAATATCAATATAACAAAAATTATGGAATGTGAGAACCTAAATATAATGTATGATTTAAATTTTGTTTGATATTATTAATAGATAAACAAATATTTTCACACAATAATATATGCTATTTTGGAACTTTAAACCTTTTTGTGCTAACTATTGTTTCTATTCTATAACTTTTTTTTTTGACAACTGTTTCTATTCTATAACTATTTCCTAATTTTTTAATCTAAACTAGGTGAAAGTCCGTGCTACGCGCGGATAGTTTTTTAATTTTGTGTGAGCAATGTTTTTAAATCTGTAACTATTTATTTGATTAATAGTAACCCTTGTTTAGGGAAAGCTACGATGCAAATGTGTGGTTTATGAAAGGAAGTAAATAATAATAATTGTTTACATTTTATTTGAATAAATAGGACATGTAGCAAATTTATTTACCATGGTATTATAATTTCTTTTCTTTTTATTCAATTTGTTGAATCTTTACTTTTAATAACCGAGTTTGTTTCTGGTATTTTAGTTCTTCGGTGTTTCTATTAAAATATTATTCCTCATCTCCTATTCAAATCAGTGAAATAAACTAACATATGTTCATTTTAATGTGTACATGTCTGAAGTATATTTTATGTTATTTCATATTTGTAGTCGTTGTTTTTGTCCTTCCATGACGTCAATAATTTTAATAAGGTTAATTTATAGTCAATTGAAATCTACAAACACTGTTCTGATATTTTTTTATTTTGGGGCCAGCCTTACGTATCAAAGCTATCAAACTATTCAAGCCTTGTGCCTTTACTTTGTAGTAATGTAAAATATTACATAGAGTAGTTATTTAAGCTAATGCTCAAACTATGGATTCTATCTGAACTTACAAAAATGATGAATAACCTTGATGTATTTGTGGAGACAGTCTCGGAACATGGCCACTTTTCTTGGTCTTACAGTGGGAATCCTCTTCTCCATTGTTTTGAGCATCTATCAGTTCGATCAGTCTTCCACAGGGTTGTATATCATCTTCTAAATTACTGCTCTCAGACTCATTCCATAGCTCAATGCCATTGTTATCTTACTTATCATTAGGCTTTTTGCATGTCCTGTTCTGGTCTGATTGCGGCGGCAACACTGGGATATTGACTGCTAATATTCGTGAGGATTTAGAAGAAGTGTGTTGATGAAACGTAGGAAAACAGAATGGTAGATGTAATAAAATCATTTTTTGTTTAAGAACAGTTGAAACCTGCATTGGCTATAGCAGATTCAGATGCTGCTAAGAGAAGTGGGCGTATATCTCCAAAGTCTGGAAGACGTGCAGTGGTAATATATCCCAACCGCGACCTTTTCTTCTGATGTTAAAAAAGAAATCCAGTTAAATATCCGGACTAAAGGAAAAGAAAGAGGAAATATCATTTAGGAATTGCAAAAACCGAACCTGTAAGAGAGTTTAGGAGAGCTATACATAGGAGAACCCAGAGAAAATAGAATGAAATTTTCAGGTATCGAACTTAAAGGAGCTGGAGAAGCATTCTGTTGCTGTTCCGGACAGAGACAAAATGAGGCTGTGGATATGGAATGAGAAGTGCATATATGTAGTGAAGCAGGTTGTGATTTTCACTTGCCTCAAGTAGCTCTTGGTGTCTTCTCCTCCGGTATACCTGTAGGGAACTATGAGCACGAAATCCAAGAGAATAATTCATACGACCATCAGTATTGTGGCTGTTGAAGCCGACAGTGTGATCTGCAGCATCAGTGAAATAGCTACAGAACGATGATATAGAAACCTAGCCTCGAGAAGAAAATGTAATTTGTCATTGGGGCTAGATGAATCATCTTCTAATACATTAATATATTAGAACACTTTGTTGCAAGAATATAACAATATGGTCTTGAATCATAGTTGACATTATCACCGAGTTAACCCTACTTTTACATCATAAGATACAAAAAAGTTGCTACATAGTAAAGATGCCTACTAGTGCCTCGCAGTCAAACGATCGGCAATAAGAGTAGATAGTGTGCATCTGTTCTGGCATATTGCACCATCTCTTCGGACAGTGGACGTTGTCTCCAATCTTCACGCTTCATTGAAGATATGAATTAAGCTTAGCATGGATAAGAATGGACTGCAAAACAAAAAAGTATACGGAGTCCTATATGTTAAAGGACTCACCTGAAGTAATTTGTTAGTAGCGACTCCACATACAGCCTCAAGTAAGTATGGCAGTGACCTTTGAGGCTTCGACAACACCTCACATGCCTGATTTATGGCATTAACATAAACATTTTACTTTTTCAAAATAGCAGCAACGATAACAGTGAACAAATTTATCTTAAATGGCCGGAGCTAATAAAAGACCCAATTTTCTGTGATCATTCACTCCAAACAGCTTTCACTCATGCCAAAGTTTAAGAATTAGTGCCGGATTTAGAAAAGGTGTACCTTGGCAGTATCGAACATATTAACAACATATATGTGAAAGTCTCTTTGAAGCCAAATTACATCGTTGTCGGCTCGGTGAAACACCTAGAAGCAATACGTACAAATGTTCCATAAGAAGTATCCCAAAATATGAAAAAACCTGAAATAATCGAATGCGGTAGATTCTATATAAATGAATATCTTTATTGGGGGAAAAAATGTACCTTTCAATTATCAGGATTGGAGAAAACAGGACGAAGAATACTCATTTCATCATGTAATGCAATCGTGTCCACCAGAATTTCTTCCTCTTGCGTAGAAATCTGCAAGGGCAAGAGAAATATCAAAAATCTTAACATGAAAGCGAAAATAGCAAATGCCTTCTCAGTGGCCACCAACATCAACGGTTCCGGCGACTCTCATCTCGAAAACAAATCCTCCGACTATCCCACGGAGTCGCATCAATTGAAGATGAGAAACCTTTTTTAAAAAATTGGAGATGAGAAACCATTATTAAAAAACAAAATGAGACCTAGATCTAAATCTATTGGAACAGATCGGGAACAGATTGAAAACACTAATTAAGATGGTCAATCAGAAAGAAAAGGAAATTAAAATCACCTACGTAAATGGGAAGGTTTGGTTGTAGAGCGTGAGGATCTTCGGTTGGTGCAGAGAAAGTTTCATAGGGAGGTGGAAGTCTCTTCTGAAAATTGTCGTCGAAATCATTGAAACAACTGGTGAGGATAAGTTCATGGCCGCCAATATAAATATTATCGGGGAGCCTCGGGAGGAAGACGAGTAGAATGTCAGTTTTTTTTTAATTAATTAAGTTTGGAAGGGATAGGTGTCACTCTCTCCAGTGCTGACGTGTCACGCAGCTGGAGAGAATTCAGCCTCTTTTATATATTAGATATAAAAAAAAGAGAGTAATACTCGAAAAAACGTACAAAAATTAGTTTGTATGTGAGTAAGATTCTTTAGATTATTGAATGTAAACAAAAGTTTCGTTTAAATGTATACTGTTAAGCTGTAAAAAGGAATGATTAAGATAAGGAGTAAAGATAAAACAAAGTTTAGACGGAAACTAAAGGCGAAGATAATCATCGAGTCATCATCATACAAAGTTACAAACGAAAAAAGAATGTTTTAATATTTCTTTTGAACCATCACCAAACAAAGAAAAAGAAAAATGGTATTAATTAGTTTTTAAATTCTCAATTTTTAGAATAAATATATTTACAAGACTACAACAGTTCCTCTTTATAATAATAATCCAAACCTCAACATTTTCTTCAACCTCCTCCCCCCCAAAAAAAAAAAAAGTGCGGAAGAAGATGATGAACTCTTCTCTTCTAACTCCTTCCTCTTCATCTTCTTCCCATATCCAAACTCCGGCGACGACGACTTTCGACCACGAAGACTTCCTCGATCAAATCTTTGCCTCTGCCCCGTGGCCATCCGTCGTTGACGAAGCTCATCCTCCTCCTCCTCCCATCGATGGCTTTGTCGACTCAAGGCATCAACAGATCATGATGATGCCTTTATCTTCACATCATCAAAACGACGTCGTTGATGGCTCCTCCGTCCAAACTCTTTACAATGGTTTCTCCGCCCCCGCCGGCTCTCTTCCTTTCCACGTCCCTCAGGCAATAAAACCAAAACAAGAAATCTCTCTTTCTCTCTAGTCTTTCTATTTTGATAAATATTTTTTATTTTATGGTGAAAATATAGGGATCGGGAGGTGGTTTGATGAACCAACCAGGACAAACGCAAACGCAAACGCAACCGCAAGGGAGTGCGTCTACAGGTACCGGCGGTACGGTGGCGGCTCCGCCGCAGAGTAGGACTAAAGTCAGAGCTAGGAGAGGTCAAGCCACTGATCCTCACAGTATCGCCGAACGGGTTAGTTTTTTTATTTATTTTTCATTTGTTTTCGATGCATTAATTTGATATCAGTTACCGAGAAAGGCGTGGAAATTAGAAACTTTAAATTTTGTCTTTAGAGTAAAAAGTTTAAACTTTTCGAGTATTTTCTGAAAAGTTGTGATGAAAATGTTTTATTGGGCAGTTACGAAGAGAGAGAATTGCGGAAAGAATGAAAGCTCTTCAAGAACTTGTTCCTAACGGCAATAAGGTATTTTATTTAATTCATTTTCAGTTTAAAAACATTTTATGTTATTTGAATCATCATTACTCGGATGTCAAAAAAAAGGAAAGAAAAAAAGAATCATCATTACTCTGAATTTGTATGATCCATATTATTTTTTTTAAGATAATTTACAATTTATAATAACACTACTCCATTGTCTATATATTTTAAACCTATATATGGTGAACAAAAAATAATGAAAATAAATGTTAAAGTGATTTCTTTTTCTTCCGTAATTTCACTTCATTAGTCAAATGATCAGGAATTAGAGTTGTCCAAACAATAAGTTTAGCACGTCAACTAGAAGTCCAGAGCTGATTATTATTTTTATGAGTTACGTTACCAAAACTCAGTGTTAGTAAGTAAATTCATTATTATATTTATTTGGTTTACTCATATAATTGGTGGTCGTATATGTATGTATATATATATATATATCAATCAAATGATTAAACACTGATTAGATAACTAATCAGGCTACAATAATAAAGTTAACTAATGCAGTAATAAATGGGTTAAGATCTCAGTTCTGACAGATTGTTTTTTGTATAATTATTTAAATAATAATTGAACAGACAGACAAGGCATCGATGCTCGATGAGATTATAGATTATGTCAAGTTTTTACAACTCCAAGTCAAGGTGAATCTCTCTATTTGTCTCTCATACTTTTCTTACATCTATAATTTCATTCGGTTACATAGTACAAGGGGGTAACTTTTTTGAAGAAACTACATATGTATGTTTTATCTTATTCTCTTAATTGAATATTGATGGAAGATTCTTTATTTTGCCTTATAGTTGACATATTAACAAAAGAAAAGCTGACATATTAGTACAATATTTACATAGCAATAAATCAAATATGGGTCTCTGCAACTAAAATTCCTTATGCTCCCTCTCCTTTATTTATTTTTCTCGATTGTCATATACTGTACTCGCATTACATAATGCCATATTTAATATAAATAATAGTGGACCGGTGTACTGAATATTTCCGTTTTGAATTTAATTATTGCGTTTTAGGTATTGAGCATGAGCCGATTGGGTGGTGCTGCTTCCGTTTCGTCTCAAATCTCTGAGGTAATTAACTTCACTACCTCTATAATCTCCAAAAATCTAATATAAAAGTTAATGGATAAAAATATTCATATAAATTTTGCCTAAAAGTGCATTTGTTATTCAAATATCCTGCGTTACATATTTTTTGTGTGTCTCAAAAATAGATAAATCTTGCAAACGATATAGACATTATAGGGTTATTTCTCTCTTTGATGTATTCTTAAATGATGCCCCTTTAAGGGGAAGAAAAGAGATAAATAAAGTATGATTTTTTTTTTTAAATAGACATTATAAAGTTTTCAAAACAAGAAAAAAAAAAAGACAAATTCTAAGATAGAGAAAAGAGAGAGCACGCGTGCCGACTATTACTACTTAGGGTTTCGCTTTCTTCTGTTTTTTTTTTTATAAAAAAATGTTTTTATCTATTATTTTTTTCAGGCGGGTGGGTCCCACGGGAACGCATTTTCCGCGGCCGCCGGCGATAACCAGACGGCCGGAAACTCAAACGACGGTATAACGATGACAGAGCATCAAGTGGCGAAGCTGATGGAAGAAGACATGGGCTCGGCGATGCAATACCTTCAAGGGAAAGGTCTTTGTCTCATGCCTATCTCTTTAGCCACCGCAATCTCGACTGCCACGTGTCATTCTCGTAACCTTTTGAACTCTGGGGCTCATGCTGACGTCGGAGTTCCTTCATCTCCCAATCTTTCCGGTATGACCGTACAGTCAAGTAACAAGGTGAAGTTAAATGGTAACGGTGTGAGGGAGGGATCAGCATCTATCGCCGTTAAAGAGTCGGTATCCATTTCGAAGCCGTGATAACGGCCGTGTTCTTTTCTTTTTTTTTATAACATTTGGGGTTAGGCAAAGAGATACCAAAAACAAAACAGAAAAAGTGGTGTTAGTGGGAGATAAAAATCAAACCAACTTTTGGTCGAAGTCTACTAAGAATTAAGGTGAAGTTGTTTGATGTGTTAGCTAAACAACGGCGTATCTTTCGCCTATTTTGGGTTCCTTTACCTACTACACTCAAAAGACATACATTTCTTTCTCTTATTTAAATACGTGTTTACAATTAATGTTTTTGTTTTATGATAATAATGTTGGTTTCTTTGATCCGAATATCATTGGCTAGAGAAAAAAAAAAGTATATATTAGTATTGGTTTTGACATAACTGACATTACGTTATATGTTATTATAATATGAGATGGAGAGAATGTGGTCTCTAGATCTCGAAAAGTTGAAACCAATTCCTCTCGTACATCCCACTTAACCTGCTTTGCGGTAGACCAAAGTATTTTGTATACTTCTTGTATGTCAAGTATACTTCTTGTACCTCAAGAAAGACTCCAATTAACTATAATATATCCCATTTAAATAGACCATTAATTTTGTATACTTCTTGTAAGATCTCTTCTCTGCTCTTGCTTGGTGCAGCTTGCACCTAATAACCAATTTAGTCACTTACAAACCGGTGGTATGGTTCAAGCACAACATCCTTAAAGATGCTTTTATCTTTTGCTTGGTTGTTCGTGGTTATTTAACAACCAAAAGCAGGCTGAGGAGCTGGGGAGTGAATGTCCCGGAGACTTGTTCTTTTTTTTGAAACTGAGACCGAAAGAATAAGGAATATTTACTCTTTGCATGTGAGTAATTAGAAGAAGTCTGGGATTTCTTCTTCTTCTCTCGTTCATCTATCAGCCCTCCTTCTCTGTTTGAGGACATTTTACGATGGTGTATTGCTTCCTTATCAAGTTGCAAACTCAATATCATTTGCAAGCTCTTATTCCAAGCAGTAATCTATGAACTTTGGAAGAAAGGAATGCAAGGCTGCATAGTTCAACTTCAAGTCATGCAAGCCATAGTATAAAAGGCATCCAGCTGACACTTCGATGCAAGCAGGGCCGTGCCTATAGGTATATAAAATAAACATTGGCCTAGGGCCCATTTTCTATTTTTTTTTTGAAGAGTCCATTCTTTGATTAATTGTTAACTTTTAATTTTTAATATAATTCATCTACTTTTTGTTGAGAGTTTGGAGAGGATGAGGAGTCTTCATCTACATATCTTTCATCTACTTTTTGTTCGAGTCCTTCCAACTATCTCCGGTACTTGCAAACCTAGACAATTGCTAACTACTAAGTTCAAAACAACTCTCTCATATGTCTCTCTTCATTTATGTGGCTTGTACCTCTCTGATTACTCTCAGCATATAATTGTGTTTTGTGATTGTATTCTTTTGTAATTAGCTCAAAAGTTCTTCAAACGTCTGTTGAAAAAACACTTTGTTGCTCAAAACACAAAGAGATAAAATCAGCTTCAGGTAAGTTCAAGTGAACACTAATAGAACTTCGAAAAGGCATTCTTGTAACTTGTAAGTGTAATGCAAATCTACTGTAGCTAAGTCTAGTGAGTTTTGTTACCTTATTGGGGATATGTACTTTGTTTGGCAGCTTACCAACTGAGCTGAAACTAGGGGATAATGTTTTATGTATATATGGTCAATAGTCTTTTCACTTCTACTAAGCCTTCCTGTCTCAATATAATTCCACTTCATGAGATTATATGATTCAGTTGTTATGATACTCAGTATAGATCAGGTTTAGACGACCAGAACAACCTCAGTGAGTTGTGTTCTTCTGTCTCTCTCTAACTCTGCCTGTGACTCATAACATTCAAGAAATGTGTTCATGTGATTAAATATAGATCCTTAAGTAGAGAGAATCTGTGCTGCTACTAGTAGTCCACGTGATTGATTTTCTCTTTTTTCAGGAAAGGAGAATTCAAGGACAAAATCAGAGTCTTCACTAGTTCCCTCTTGTTTGTGGCTTATCTCTTGCCTTTTACACTACATTACACTAGGACCTGAATTAGATAAGCCCAACAAGTAATGTAATGTGAAATAAGGCCCATTTGTTTAGGATGTGCTGTTTATCAAGGATGACTGTACAATAAAAAAATGGGATTCTCCAACAAGTGTTTCTATATTCATGTTACGTAATTGAAAAACTTATCCTTGAGAATTGTATTCATGCTACAAGCAAACTATATTTCTTAATTTTATGAAGTATCAATTTAGTTTATACCTTTGCACTTGAATAAAACACATATGAGCTATCTTCCCTCAATCTTGTTTCTGTCTCAATAAGCCTTTATTAGAGCCTGAATCCATCTGTTTTGGATTCTCCTACATGTTATCAAGGTCTAAATAAGTAGATTCCAAAATCAAGTTCTATAGAGCTTATTGAGATTGTAACGAGAATGAAAGAAAAGAGCTCATATGAGGTTTATTCAAGTTCTTCTATAAGGTGAAGCCAGAGACCAATTGAATCTGTACATGATATCATTGAATAGCGTGAATCAATTTTTTTTTCTGTCAAAAAGACATTGTAAGTTGTGTGAAAATTTTGACATTCTGGTTTAAAGTAGCTAGTGTTGCCTATTTATAACTTCTGTTTGCTAACTCAATTTCCTCTTCTTTCCCACTGGTTTACGAGTAAATGATCACAAGATAGCAATCTCATTCTTTCACATGACCCATTTTCTTTAATGAGAATATTACCATTTAAGAATGCAAACAGTCCATGTGATCAGATTGATATTGCAAAAGTGATGGAAAGACGTGAATTAGATTCGTTGAAGATCAAAGCTTATCCACTGTGCTAGCTCAGATTGGCATGCCACAAAAATTTTTAAGAAAGTGTTTGGTCAAAAGGATGAAACAGAGAAAAAGAAAAATTCCCTTCAAAAACTAAAGAGGATAAAAGTTATATGCCTATATTCTTGGGGACATCTTTACGGAAAAGTGAAAAGAAGATAAAAACTTTAACTGCCCCCAAAAGACAGTAGTAACAGTTGCAACCACTCACATGTCCTGAAACTCCTGACTAAAGGGAACGAATCCTCATAAAACCTTAAAGAAAGTTAGATTGAGATTTTGTCATTTTGGAGATGCTCTTCACAGTTTTAGACTGCTAAACAAAGAAGAAATCAAAACACAACAAACCGCAAGTCTGCAACTAAGAACTTTGAATCCTTGATCAGTTTAAGAGCCACAAGATCGATATCATTTCTTATATCACAGGTCACAATAAGGAACACTTTCTTTTTAGAACAAAACTAAGATCAGTCTAAAGCATTTTTCTATTGCTATAGTTTTCTTTGCCTATTGCTATTTCTCTGTAGTTTTCTAAAGGACTCTAAGAACACAAACAAACACACAAAAGGAAAATAAAAACAGACCAGAGAGTATTGAGTCAATGAATCAGATGATCGGAGGAGGAGGAGTCTCCCACACATCAAACACATTCTCTTCACTATGCAAAGCAAAAAGCCGATCCCCACCAATGGAGAAATCACAAATGGAGCCACCATAGCTTCTTCTCAGCCTAGAAGTCAAAACCCAATCCGGTCCACAAAACACAGAGATGGAATCATTCATCGAAGAGAAAAGCTGACCTTCGTGCAAAGCCAGCTTAGGGTAACAAGGCTCGTCAGGCATCTTGCTTTTCATCAACCTGCTCCTAGAACTCCACCTCACGCTACCTCCATACATCCTCAGATCAATAAACCCCAAATCCTCAAACTCATTCACAACGCAGATGGAGTTACTATCTTCCATAGCTATAGCATCTCTCACCCTCTTCTCATCTATCGCCATAGGAGAACCAATATCCGACCAAGACCAAACCATGTTCTTGTCTCGAAAATCAAGCAAACTAATGTAACAGTTGTCTTTTCTTGGAAACAATGTAGCTACAAGAAGACAGTTCTTACCATTCAACCATTGTAGCTTATCAGCATCACCTAGTGACCAACCTGGACTCTCGTAGAAGAAATCGGTTTGTTTTCCGGTTATCTGATCCCAAACTCCGATCCCATACTCATTACTCCTTCCTTTACAGCTAGAGAAGATCTTATAATCCGGTGAGAAACTCAAAGCTCCGGCTGTGTAACTCTTGACCTGGTTCTCATGAGAGACCTGAAACTTATACCGGAGATCACCTGAAGATGAGCTGAACAGTCCCATGCCACCGTCTCCTCTTCCCAATTTCTCACAAGCAGAGAGTACGATGTTGTCTGAATCAATCCATCCAACATCGTTCACTCTCTGGTAATCGAGGTTGATCGGATAATGCTCATCAAGCATCCAATCAAACACGTGGACTACGCTCCCGTGCGCCACGCAGCAACCACCGTCAGGTCCTGCCCTGATGGCGGTTCCGTCTCCGGGAGCGATTCCTTTGACGGAATCTGATAACCGGAGACGGTTTCCGTCGAATGGGCCCCATTTAGCGGTTCTCACGTGGTTGAGTAAGCCGTAGAAGGAAGCTTCTCTGTGGAGGAGACGCTCTGGGATGTTTGTAGGGACGTTGAGGTCTCCGGTGCGGAGGAGATCGAGAAGAACGGCGAAGCAATCTGGGTTTCTGTCGATGAAAAGATTTTCCGGCGACGGCGAGAGGTTCCATTCGTCGTCGAATAACGCGCCGAAGAAGGAGTCGCGACCTGCGTTTGCGAGCGTCGTTGATGTTGTTTCGAAGATTCGACCTCCAACGTTGAATTTGATCCTGTCTTTTGAGTTACCCATCAATGGAAGAGAAGAGATTCTCCAGAATCTTGTTCTGGAAATTAAAAACGATGAATTCGGGATTTGAATAGAATAAAGCAGAGAGCTTTTTTTGTTTTTTGTTTCCGAGAAAGCTGGAAAATTTATCAGAATCAGTAATCATTAGCTATCATGTTATGTTCATAACAAGACAAGAAGCCATGACAGATTACAGAGAGAGAGAGAGAGACGGAAAAACTCGGATTACAATCAAATTGCGAAGAAATTGGGCACGAGAAAGAAGCTGTTTCTGATTAATGAGTAATCAAATTCAAAGAAATCAAATTTCAGAAGATGACCTCTAACCTCTCTCTCTCTCTATCCCTGAGATTGAGACATAGCTCGAAACTCGATCAAATTAGAGGAAATTGAGCTCTGGGCACGGGAAAGAAGACGCTTTTAAGTAATGGGAAATCGAATTTAATTACGTGAAATTTGATCTGAAGAAAAATTTGAAATTTTTTCAGAGATGTGAAATTGAATTGACTCTGTCTTCTCTCTCTCTCTCCTTTTTTTTCTTCATTCCGTTTACACACAACAGTTGTTCTACATTTATACATTAGAAGAAAGAAACAGGTCCATGTGTGGGTCCCGCGTTATTTTTTTAAGTTGCGTTGTTCATCTATAAACCGTAGATGTTAGTGTTCTTAATAAACTGGTTTCTAATCTAACGGTTGATATTTTGTTTTGTATATTGCTAAATCGGGAGAAGATAGATTCACACCTCGTTTGGTATTTATTTATCTGACATTTATTTATCTATATTTATTTATTTATCTACATTTATTTATTTATCAATATTTATTTATTTATTTTCGTTATTTTTATATACACATCAAGTTGAATTTGTGACATCGAGAAACATTAGTAGTTTATATTTTTCAGGTAACATAAAGTACGATGTCCTTATCTTTTTATTTATTGACTTACAAAAATACAACTTCTTGATATAATGATAAGAGGAGACTTTCTCGAGTATTATTATCGATTTTAAAATAATATTTCGTGTTAGTGGAACAATTCAAATCAGATGATTGTGATACAATTTATAAACAAATCATTGGTGACTCATTGTATGACAAGTTTTAAATATCTATTTCTTGTCCTTATCGAGTTATAAAAAAGTCAGTATTATGATTCTGAATTTATAATAGGAAAATTGAGTAAGAAATCAAATTTATTTAATTATTTTTTGTACATCCTCGTAAATTTGTTTCATTAGAAAATACCAGAGGATTAGTTGCACAAAAAGAGAAGAAGAAAGTACCAGAGGATTGATTGAGGTTTGGTTTACGCAAATAACAATTTCTTGCAATATAACAATAACTTTTGTTAAGGATTAATTTGTTTTCTGTCAAATGTTTGTTTTGTTAGAATCAAATTAAAAATGTTATCGTGAGAACGAGTAAATGAGACGATAACGTATGCAATTTATGTCCTTTGAGATAAGAGAGGACCAAAGTTATTTATTGCATAGCACAAGACTTGAGAATTGGCAGCATACACAGACGAAATAAATTTCCAATCGAATAAAGACAAGGTATCGGTTAAATTCGAAACATATTTTAATCATATAAGTTGGGTTACATTCGAAACATATTTTAATCATATAAGTTGATTTCTTTCCTGGTTTAGGATTAGCAATAAAGTTGCACGATTTGAGATAGGTATGTCTCTTTGCAAAGCAACGACTTAATTTATCTCTTAAGTTTTGTTCACCTAATTAGTTAAATTTATCGGTCCTCTTGGTTATTCATAGGGAACGAGCTGTCCATCGTTCTACTATTTAAAATTTTACAATACCGATAGCATCAGTAAAATATAATAATCATGTATCTAAAAATTCAATAACGAAATAATATAACCTTAAGATAAGTCGAACCAAACCATATAGTAATAGCATACATATTTAATATTGATTAACTACTTTTTAATACATACAAGAGTTCAACGTCAAGGAGGGTCATGCGGGTCGTGGACGGCACACCAACAACGGCTTCTTCTTCGTGTTTCGGTCCAAAACATGATATAAACCAAAATATATTTCTCTAACAACTAAATTAAGTTAAGAAAATAATAGTCAACAAAAGGAGTTATCCTCTATTATTTCCTATTAAACGTCAATTTTGTACTTCAAAGGCACTCTTGTTATTAGGATACCTTTTATATGTTTGTTACTCCTCTTACCAGGAATGTAAACCATAACTAAAACCACACATTTTTATTTTTGTTAATAATACACAATTCGTGTTATATTCTAATGTATTACTCATCTTGTTGAATATGTTTATGTATACGACGGCTACCTCCCCTACATTTGAAAGATGTTAATGTATTTGGTTTCGAATATATTAAACGCAAAATCAGTATCATGGTTTTGTTTCCTGCGATTAGATGGAAGAACAGATTTTGGTTAATTGAGTTGGTTAACTTGTCGCGTTCTTTTTTTTTAGTTGTACTTAAAGTTAGCCAAGAACTACTTAACCACCTCCACACCTCTTGCTTTTGCTTTTTCAGGTATAATTAGGTCAAATAATTATGCCAACTCAATTCATTTCTGTTTACTTTTCTTTCTAAATATTGCTGGACGATTTTTAGAACAGAACGGTTCAATGCTACTCGGATAGTTTATTTACATGTATTTTCTAGGTAAGTAGAAGGTGTAGTGTAAGTGCAGAAAGCATGCAAGATATAATGAATCCACTGAGGTTAAACAACGTGATAAATTGATTTCCAAAACATCCATTAGAAAACTATTAATCGAAAAAACATAAACCTTTGATCAACATCTTGATCGTACAATTCATTATAACAAACTCAAACTTGGTAGATAAATTGTGATACATATAGTAATCAGAAGAAAAAAAAGGAGCAAAAATGTCTAAAAATAAGAAATTTAGGTGGAAGCTAAGACATAAGGAGATAAATATGGAGACCTGTAATCCTTCACCTCCAAAACACAAGTAGGTAACTGAATACAGCCTTGCAATAAAAGATCAACTTTCTCAACTACATTTTCTGCAACCGGAGTGATCACATACAAGATTCCTCTTTCAGTGTCTATACCCCTCACGATTCCTATTCACATCAAAAAAACCAAATTTGAATAAATACAACTACCATAAGAATCCAGATTCAATAAGCTTTTCACACTAAACTTGCAATGGATAAGAGCAACTTACCAAGACCTACACATGAAGGCAAATCTTCAAACACATCGGTGCTAACGGCCAAGCCAACAATAGAACCATTCAAACTATAAAACACTTCAGAACTTGGGATCTAGCGAGAAAAAAAAAAAAACAATTAACCATTATTGGCATCAAACATACAGCTTAGAAAAATATGAACAGAATATTGTTTTCTTTTTTTACCTGACAATGGAGATGATTGATAGTTACACTCGATATTGGAACTTCATAAGGAATATGGGAAGCGAGTTCATGGCTTAGCTCTTTGATCGTGTTTACTTCTTTCCCTTTAATGCATTGCCTGAAGTAGGCGATTATTCGCAGATCCCTCAAATGGCGAGAATCCTTTTGAATTAATACACTATACAAAAGAGAATACATTACTACATGAAAACATTATAGCATTTCGATAAACTAACTTTCAAAATGAACGTACGATCGATTGAAACTGTCTTGGTAAGCAGATTGAATCTCTATCAAATGAGCCGTCTCATCATCGTTACAGTCTAACCAGAACGAGCCAGCTGGTAGGTTCTTGCTGTGAGCAGAGATGTTGATTTTCACAACGTGAGAGGGAGATACATATCTCAGTACTTCCACCAATAAATCATAGCCAATACCTAAAGATAGTAATCGTAATATTAGTGAAAGACAGAAAGAAATGTTTTCTTCTATCAAACACACACAAGAGGAGAGGTAAAGAGACTGAGCTCTACCTTTAACCCATCCTGGCGTGTTAATGACAAGAGGTAACTCAGTTTTGTTCTCGCTAGACTTGCAGAAGTTTAGCTGGTAGTAATCGAATAAGGTATATACATATTTTAAATATGCCTTTGGATCCCTCTTTGAAGAAACATCGCCATAGAAGAAACATCTGCATCATTCAAATAAAAAAGAAAAGAGGATAAAAATGGCTTTGATTCCAAATCAAAGAGTCAGTCCTACTGATTCCTTATAAAAGTTGCTTGAACCAAAACTACCTCTCCGGTGTCTTTACACATGGAACCGTCCAATCCGAGTCTAGAAAGTAATATGTAAACCAATAATATAAGTGACGGAAACAGCATTATAAAAACAGAAAGAATCTTCAAAAGCATCAGTATGAGGTACCTAGAATCGATTTATCGACAACAGTGAGAGAAAGGAAACCAGGTGCTGTGAATTCAGGCTGGCCAACATCCGTGTCCAAATAAGCAACCTTTTTGTATCTGTAGTAAAGCCACAAATGGTTTATCTTCAGAAAACTCAATCAAACAAAGCAACCATCAAACTAGCACACAACGAGGTGTAAAATTCCAGTTCAATTAGCAAATGGTAAGAAAGTAAACTGAAAAGTGACAAATAGAGAACAATTTTTTTCCCGAATCCCGATTTCTTTTGCATACTGATTCTTGATTTTTTTAAGCACTAAGGACAATACAGAGAGGCTGAGGAAAAGCAATAACCTTTGGAGAAGAACCTCAACAAGATTGCGAGAAAATGTGCTCTTGCCACTGTTTTTAGGGCCACAGACCAAAGCAGTAGCCGGTTGCGACGACGTAATGGAACTACAGGAAACAGAAGCTGCTGCATCCGACCATTCCTCGGGTATGAAAAGCAGTTTCTTTCCTGATTCCGACATTGCAGCTATAACTTATCCACTCGTGGTGCTTTCTTTCTTTGTGGCTCTGTTTTTCAATACACAGCCAATAAATTATCAACTCTATGACACGAATTTGAAGTTATTTCAAATAGCAAGAAAACACAAATTCAGACAATCCAACCTTAAACACGACTATAGACTCAAACCCGAATTTGATCTAAGTACCATATTACGAAAACTTATTCGGATTTCAATTATAAAATTTTAGGATTTTACACTGACTAGTTAAAGTATTTACGAGACGATGGGCCTACGTTTTACAGGTAAAGTCATAAACTTACTTGTTATAAAATTACGGCGAGCGAAGAAACAAGCTTTCGGAGAAGAAATTACCGGCGATTCGGAGTTCTCAAACCAGAGGAGAAGATATTGAGCCGCCGGAGAAGACGGAGGAATAAAGGGTTTAGGGTTTTAATTGCTTTCGATGAAAAGTTGGTTTAGAGTTAGTTTCGGATAGAATTATAAACCGGAATTGGTCCGGGTGTTAACTTTTAAATACTTACCGGAACTGAACCAAAAACTAAAGAATTGAATTTTAAGTTAAAACCCGGACCAATCCAGTTTATAATTCTTTCTGAAACAGTAATCTTGTGTGAGAAGATAAATCCGATCTAGAGGATCCACGTGATCCTTAAGATAGGTGAAAAGCAAGGACTAGAAGATTGGTACTGGGGTTGAGAGGGACCACCTCGAAGACCTTGATTCGTATTTGATTTGCTTTAATGGCGTAAGAGAGAGAGAGAGTGAATAAAGAAGAAGATACTTTTCTCGTTATCCTTAGCAAAATGCCAAAACTCAGTACAAATAGCGTGATGGAAGGAATGAGCCTAACACGTGGCTTCAAACCGAAATGTAAATTGCGAACCAAACCTATGGTGGTATCAAACCAACCAAAACCGGGACTTATTGAAATGTAAAATCGAGTGACGATAGTGAGGGATATGAAATCCCGATAACAATACTTCCCCCTTCGAAAGGATCCTTGTCCTCAAGGATGGAAATTTGGGTACTGAGAATTAAAGTCGCGGTAGAACTCCCAAGTAGCCTTGTCCGTAGGATAGCCTTTCCACTTTACCAAAACCTTGGTGACCGGTTTGTGCTGACGTTTGACCATCCTGGTCTCCAAGATAGCTTCAGGTTCTTTAACGGAGCCCATGTCTGTAAGATATTGTGGTAGAGAGGTCGGTGCATCCGGAGGATTGGGGCAAAGTTTGAGCTGACTCACGTGAAAGACATTGTGAATGGCGGCATCAGGAGGGAGCTCGAGCTTGTAAGCCACTGGTCCAACACGATCTGAAACTCTGTAGGGACCATAGAAGCGTGGGGAGAGTTTATGTGGGGCGGATCGATTTTTGAGGGAGTGCTGGCGGTAAGGCTGGAGCTTTAGGTAAACGAAATCGCCCACTTTGAACTCCCGAGGTGAGCGACGAGAGTCAGCGTACTGCTTCATGCGGTTCTGAGCCCGGCGGAGGTGAAACTTCAACATCGATATAATTTCCTCCCGGGAGCGTAGAGTCTTATCGACTGCGTCGGAGGAGCTTTCCCCGGGGAGGTAAGGTAGGTGAGTGGGAGGTGGATGCCCGTAGACAACCTCGAACGGTGTGTTCTGAATCGCCGAATGAAATGTGGTATTATACCACCATTCAGCAAGGGGTAACCACTCACTCCAAGTGTGAGGAGCATCGGCCGTCATGCATCTAAGGTATGTTTCGAGGGTTCGGTTGGTGACCTCTGTCTGGCTGTCTGTTTGTGGATGGTAGGCGGTAGAGAATTTGAGCTCCACTCCATGAACTCTGAACAACTCAGACCACACAGCACTGAGAAAGGTGGGGTCGCGGTCACTCACTATGTCCTTGGGCATTCCGTGGAGTTTGAAAATGTTGTTTAGGTAGGCTCGGGCCACATCAAATGCAGTGTAAGGGTGAGATAGAGCGATGAAGTGTGCATTCTTACTGAGCCGATCGACGACTACCAGGATACAATGCTTCTTCGAAGAAGGGGGAAGACCTTCTATAAAATCCAAGCTCACGGATTCCCACACTCCATCGGGGATTGGTAAAGGTTGGAGTAAGCCGGGCTTAGCCGCCAGATTGTTTTTGCTGCGTTGGCAGACATGACACTGACGAACATAGACCTCTGTTTCTGTAGACATCCGCGGCCAGTAGAAGAGGGATTTCAAGCGGCGAAGTGTAGCATCTCTACCGGAATGACCTCTCACAGCCGAATCGTGAAGCCACTTAAGAAGCTGAAACTTCAGTACGGAGCTATTTCCGATCACGAGCTTCCCTTTTCGGCGCAGTTCCCCGTTAGTATAGGTGAAGGAGGGGTGAGAAGCTTTATTAACCTGTAGTTCCGCGATGATCTTTTGGAGGGCAGGGTCGGATTTCCAGAGATCAGAGATGGATTCGTAGAGCTCCACATCAACAGAGGATAAAGTAATGTTGAGGAGTTGTGCCCCTGAAACTCGAGAAAGGGCATCTGCGGCTACATTTTCCTTCCCCTGCTTGTAGTGTATTTTGAAATTGTATCCCATAAGCTTCGATAACCACATGTGTTGAAACGGTGTGGAAACCTTTTGATCAAGCAGGTACTTGATACTCTTCTGATCCGTTTTAATAACAAAAGGTCGATGCTCCAGGTAGGCGTTCCAGGTGTGGACAGCGTGAACCACCGCGAGTAGTTCTTTCTCGTACACGGATAAAGACTGGTGTCGGGGACCAAGAGCTCGACTGATGAAGCAAATGGGATGGTGGTCTTGCATTAGGACTGCGCCTATGCCGTTGTTGGAGGCATCGGTCTCAACAATGAATGTCTTGTCGAAGTCGGGTAAGGCCAACGTGGGGGATGTCGTTAGGGAGTCCTTCAGTTGTTCGAAAGCCGTTTGAGCCTCATCGTTCCAAGAGAACCCATCTCTTTTGAGTAGAACAGAAAGAGGTTTGGCAATGACACTATAACCCCGAATAAATCGACGGTAGTAGTTAGCAAGACCCAGGAAACTGCGGAGGTGTTTCTGCGATTTGGGCACAGGCCACTGCTTGATAGATTCAATCTTCTTTGGATCCGTGCTAACGCCCTCAGCGGAGATAAAATGCCCGAGGTACTCAATTACTGAAGCTCCAAAAGTGCATTTCGAGGGTTTCAAAAACAGCTGTTGTTGCCGTAAGACCTCGAAGACAGACGTGAGATGTTGGAGATGAAGTTCCCACGATGAGCTGTATACCAGGATATCATCAAAGAATACCAAGAGGAACTTCCTCGAAATCTCGCGGAACACATGGTTCATAAGGCCTTGAAAGGTGCAGGGGGCATTTGTAAGTCCGAAAGGCATCACCAAATATTCATAGTGTCCTGAGTGGGTCTTGAAGGCGGTCTTGTATATGTCGTCAGGCGACATCCGAAGCTGATGAAACCCAGAGCGTAAGTCCAGCTTGGAAAAGAAACGCGCTCCACCCAGCTCGTCAAGGAGGTCTTCCAATAGCGGTATGGGGTATTTATCCTTGATTGTTTGCTTGTTTAACCCGCGGTAATCGACGCATAACCTCCATGTACCATCCTTCTTCTTCACCAACACGATAGGGGATGCATAGGGGCTGGAGCTGTATTGAATTATTCCCTGGGATAGCATTTCCTTCACCATTTTGTCGATAACGTCCTTCTGCAGGGACGAGTACCGGTATGGTCTCTGGCTGATAGGGTTCGCTCCGTTCTCCAGTGGGATTTTGTGATCGAAGCCTTCTCGAAATGGTGGTAGCTCCAAGGGTTCGGTGAAAAGATCCGAGAAGGTATTGATTAGACTTTGCATTGCAGGATCCGAGGATCGATCTTCACCGGTAGTGGAGATGTGGGATAACAATGCCTCTGGCTCTAGGGGAGTTGTATCGGGGTCCTCTTCCATGTCCCGAATCCGAATCAAAGCGATCTGAGGGCCTTGGAGCAGAAGCTTGTTAAGGTTGCTGCCTTTGACCAACTTATAACCCGATTTCGTGACCCCTCTTAGAACATTCTTCACGCCGTTCAGGTTGAACTCCATCCTCAAGTTAAGGAAATCCCACAGAATTGGGCCTAAAGTACACAGCCACTGCACCCCAAGCACGAGATCGCAGCTTTCAAGGGGTATAGTTCGAACTTCAGAGGTGTAGTCATAGCCTTGGACCCTCCAAGAGAAGCGTCTGCATATGTAGGAGGTTCGAATTTGGTCACCGAAAGCTCCGGAGACAGGCATTGGTCTAATGCTATCCAGCTTGCAACCTAAGTCTTTAGCTGATTGTAGATCAATGAAGTTATGAGTACTCCCCGGATCTATCAGGATATACAGCTTCCTCTTCCCGTACTGGCCTATTACTCGCATGCAATTGAAAGATGATGAACTATTGAGGGCGTGAATCGAGATAGATAGATTGTTGTCATTACACGCCTCAGCTGGAGGTTCAATGGGGGTGGATTCTGTGACCGGAAACTCCATGAACTCATCCTCATCCGAGGATAAATCGTCCCCTGCTTCTAAGAAGTACACCTGAGCACGTTTGTGTTTGAGGTGATGGCCTGGTGTGTAGGGTTCTTCACAGATCATGCACAATCCCTTGGATCGCGATCCTGCATTTCTTCATAACTGAGCTTCCTAGGGCCTTTCTCCGTGGTGTGTTTTGCAGGAAAGTTTGATTTGAGGGGGAGCTGTTTACTGCTTTCTGGAGTGGGGAGTAGTGGAGAAGAACCTTGCTGCTTAGGCTGGAAGTGATTACCGGACCTCTGGTATGGATTGAAGGGAGCTTTATTTTGCTTCACTGGTGTGTGGAGCAAAGATGACTCGTGAAGCCTAGCTATCCTAGCTGCTTCCGCCACTGTTTTAACGCCAAATTGCCTGGTGTGATAGGCTAAGTGCGGGTTCATGTTGGAGAGGAAGATACTGAGGGCATGATGTGCCGGTATCGTCAGTCTTGATCGGAGCCTCTCAAACTTCTCATGGTATACTGACAGAGAGTCACTGCCTTGTTTCAAACATACCAGATCTGACATCGGATCATCATACAGCTCTGCAAATCGGGAGGATATTGCTATCACGTACTCGGTCCAAGAAGGAATCTCCCCGTACCTCTCAGCGAGATAGTTACGATGCCATTCAAGCGCGATACCGGAGAGGTGTAAAGCGGCTAGGCGAACCTTGAGATGCAGCGGAGTGTTATCTAGATCGAAAAATTGCTCACATCTGAACACCCATCCTTTCAGATCTGAACCATCAAATCCCGGGAAACCCATCTTGGTCAGCCTCGAAGCTAATCCGTTGGGTAAGGCGGAGGAAAGGTCGGCCCCACTCAGCTCAGGTTGAGCTGGTGACTGGAACATCCCGAATGTAGGGACTCCACCTGGAGGTGCTTGACTTCCACCGGCGATGCAGCGATCGGCTCCACTCAACTCACGCAGAGCTGGTGACTGGAACATCCCGAACGTAGGGACTCCAACTGGAGGCGCTTGATTTCCACCGGTGAAGCAGTGATCGACCCCACTCAACTCACGCGGAGCTGGTGACTGGAACACCCCTGGGTTAGGGGCTCCAACTGGAGGTGCGATCCCCTTCCCGTGTGGACGCTGCTCCACCCCACTCAGATCCGGTGGATCTGGTAACTGGACCATCCTCTGGGAGAGGACTCCATCAGGAGGTGAAGTGCCAGACCCCTGACTCTGTTGGTGGACAACACCTGAACTTTCTCGAGAGAAGTAAGAGCTGATCATCGTTTCGAGCTTACCGAATCGCTCTTCAAGCACGTCGGTGCGGATCTGCTGCTCCTCGAGTTTCTTCTGCTGTTGCTGGCGAAGCTCCTCGGCTTGATCGGCGAGCGCTTGCTTGGCTTGTTTTTCTTGTTGACGAGTCTCCATACCCATTTCTCAGCTCCGCAGGATGATGGCGAGCTCTGATACCAATGAAACAGTAACCTTGTGTGAGAAGATAAATCCGATCTAGAGGATCCACGTGATCCTTAAGATAGGTGAAAAGCAAGGACTAGAAGATTGGTACTGGGGTTGAGAGGGACCACCTCGAAGACCTTGATTCGTATTTGATTTGCTTTAATGGCGTAAGAGAGAGAGAGAGTGAATAAAGAAGAAGATACTTTTCTCGTTATCCTTAGCAAAATGCCAAAACTCAGTACAAATAGCGTGATGGAAGGAATGAGCCTAACACGTGGCTTTAAACCGAAATGTAAATTGCGAACCAAACCTATGGTGGTATCAAACCAACTAAAACCGGGACTTATTGAAATGTAAAATCGAGTGACGATAGTGAGGGATATGAAATCCCGATAACACTTTCCGAATTTAACTCTAAACCAACGTTTTATTGAACCGACAAAACCTAAGAAAGACGAAGTTAGAGAGCGCCGGCGTTTCTAAAACTGCGAGAAGTCGGAGACCCCTAAGAGAAGGACGATGAGGTTTCTAGGGCTTCCGATTTAGCCCTGACATTGGTCTCGAGCTTTCCGGAGCCATCGAATCATTGTGGGGATTCTAGGGCTTGACGATTTTGAAAAGCCATTGACATGGAATTAGGGATTGTGTGGTTGGTGAGAGCCGCTTGGATCGCAGCCATACTTCCCATGGTGATCGCTTCGATACCCATTTCCAAGCTTAGATCTTTTCATGAACTCGTTATGGGTTTCGCAAGGAGAGGCAAGATTCTTCAGCCATCGTCATCACAGAAGTGGACAGTTCCTCAGAGATTCTTTGCTCACTTCTATGTCATCGGAGTGGCCTGGACGACTCTTCTGCTCGCTACCACTTGGATGTATGCTATCAAAATCGCTCCTTTGTCACCTGAGAAGCTCCAGTCTTCCGAAATCGCAAGCCACTTAACCAGAGGTTCCAAAGTTTTCTCCTTTCATGAATCACATTTGAGTTCTTATCGGTTCAAAGTGTGGCGAGCAGTGTTTCTACTTGTTTTGATGGAGATCCAAGTTTTAAGACGCCTTGTAGAGTCAATCTATGTATTCAAGTATAGCCCTTTTGCTCGGCTACACATTCTTGGTTATCTCGCTGGATTGTTTTTCTATACAGCAGCGCCTTTATCACTCTGCTCTAGTATCGCTCCAGAGATAGCAAGATTCGCCGGAAACCAAGTAGCAGAGTTCATTGCAGGAGAAAGCCATACCTCAGCCATTGATGAGTTTGATTTGTTATTGTCTATCATCCCTCTGATGAAGCTTGGATCGTGCCAGATGATTGGTGGGGTCGTTTTTCTCTGGGGATGGTCACATCAATGTCGTTGTCACGCAATTCTCGGATCGCTCCGGGAAAGTCCTAGCCAAGAGAGGGAGTACATGATCCCGCATGGAGATTGGTTTGAGATGGTCTCAAGTCCACATTACTTGGCGGAAATCGTTTTGTACGCGGGCTTGTTGGTTGCGAGCGGAGGAACATGTGTAACGATTTGGTTACTCTTTGGTTTCGTGGTTTGGAATCTGACATTGGCGGCTGGAGAAACGCACCGGTGGTATCTAAGGAAGTTTGAGGATTATCCGGCTAACCGGCATGCCATTTTCCCTTTTGTGTACTAAATGGTTAAGAGAGATGAGAATCTTGGAGCTTCCTGGATGACCTCTTGCAAGTAAGCGAGTTTTGGTAGATCAACCTCTTGAATCAACCTTGTTTCTTCTACCACCAAATTGATTTCACAAGTATACTTAACAGGAGCTATTAAAATCTCTGTGAAACATCCATGATCTTCTTTTTTGAACAGTGAGATCTAGAGAGCTTCTCAAGTGGCTTATACAACATTTTTGCCAAGAAAATATGTTGAACATGGCAATTAACTCAACAGAGACATTCTCTGCCTCATCATTCTCCTCTGAAAATCTCTTTCCCATGCTCATCTTCCCGAGGGTTCTGTTAGCGAGAGGAGACATTAATTTCGTAGGCCTTGAAGATCTCGTAGGCTACTGAGGCAAGACAAGACGAGAATGATGTGGACACTGAAGATGATGTCCATGCGGATACGAAGGAAAGGTCCTTACTTGGATGACTTGTGGACTGAAGCAGAGAGGAGAATGTGGATTACTGACCGATGATCGGAAAAGAAGGAGGGCAACAAAGTCAGTATATGGTTTCTTGAAGAAGAAGACAGAGAAAGAGGGTTGAGAGTTGAGACGAGGCAGTGGAGGATTCAAATGAAACAATTTTGGAAGTCAAGGCTGACCATTGCTGCCATTTTGCTCAAAAGAGAAGAAGAGGGAGATGAAACAGAGGACTCCATTTATCTTTAAATCGAAGTATACGTTATGTATCAGCATTTTCCTTGTTATATTCGTGATCGCATTGATGATTCTATTGAACAATGCCAAGGTGACAAATGTAAGATTGAGATGAAACAGAGTATTCTTCGAATATTATGTTTCCAACTACTATATGTCAGTCATACAAAACACTCGCTTCGTTGTTAACCATAATCGCTCGCTTCTTCTACAAACTTCCGCATCAGCACCTGCTGCGTTTAAACCAGTGAAAATATAAGTATTCAGTTTCGGTATAAGTATCTAATCTAATCATATATATGATTTTAGGTGAATTCTCTCCATCCTGCTGCCACATCAGTATCTGAATGGAGGACACCTGTCTATTCATCTAATTAATAATCATAATTAAAAAAAAAATTAAAAACTAATTAATACCACTACTTCTAACTTAACTATTCTATTTAATGTTTATTTCATATGTATTTATGTTCATAACTATTACGTTACATTAATATTAAGGCTTTTCACATTCCTAACAAAAATAAATAAACAACATTTATAACTTTTTACATTTCTAACTTTTAGGTATTCGTCTAAAACTTTTTAATATTTTTTTATACTAACTTGATATTTTTTTTCCGGCTTATCCTCATCATAAACACTTTTTTCGAAGCTTGTTGTATGAAAAAATGTAAAGATGTAGCGTTATCTTCATTCAAAGATTTGGCGGTTTTTATGGGTCAAATATAATATTATTATAGCTGCATTTTATTGTGAAACATTATTATGGGGTGGTTCTTGCAGAATCAAGGCAATTGTACATATCATAAATTTGAGAACATTAAAAATCAGAAGTAATTATATGTTTTCAAGCAATTCAAACAGAAAAATATGACTTTTATCTACGTCTTTTTTACTCATATCATGTTTATGATTTCTAGAATAGTAGAATAATTTTCCTAATTACCATACTTTCAATCTTTAAAAAAAAGTTATTTGTTTTACAAAGAATTTATTTTAAAAAACCTAATACTAAACAATTAAACAAATTACCATATTCTTATAATTAACTATATATATATATATATATATATCAACACAAACATATTTTTAAAAATATTATGTGAAACAAAACCCGCGCGTATGCGCATGTACAAATCTAGTATATATAAAAGATAGAGGGGGCACTCCAGAGATTGACAACTCAGCATTTGAGCCAATAAAAAATTAACATTAATTCTCTTCATTAATTTATTTGCAAACTATTATATATATATATATATATATATACCATTGAATCTGATTTTTATCATGGTAAGAAAATAAAATTTTAAAATAATATAAACTAAATTCAAATTAATTTTAAACATCAAATATGTATACATAAATATAATAAAAAAATTAATTTCATCTTTTTTTTACCATGTGATATACTCATCATATTTGAACTAACAAAAATAATATATTCAAAAAAATTAAAAACAAAATAAGTGATAAAACTAAAAATAAAAATAATAGGTTTAAAAAATTTAAAAAACTGAAGGAATTTGTTTTAAAAAAAATAAGATCTAAAAATCACGAGACACAAAAGAACATTCATTAAATAATTGAAAAGATAACAAATTATTAAAACTAAAGAGAAAAAATGAAAAAAAAACAAAAAAATAAATAAAGTAACAAATAAATATAAATTTTATAGAGGCATCAGGCATGGTAAATTTCAAAAAGTAAAAATGATAGCTAGATCGAGATTTAAATGAAAAAAAATGAATAGAAAAGATTACTATCTAGGATCATCAAAAAAAAAATATATAAAAAAATCATAAGAAAAATCAAAAGTTGAACTAAAAATTAAAAATATAAGTAAACACCAATTAAAGTCTGTCCCAACTATTAATTCCTATAAAATATTTAATTTAACTTTAACATGTTACAAATATTAAATCATGAGCATAGCTTAAATCAAATTTAAATTTAATTTAAAACACTATCTGTATAACTTAAATCAAATTTTAATTTAAAACATCATAAACATATGAATAAAAAATAATTCCAGATTTTAAGATCGTCTTATCATTTAATTTTTGTATCATTTAATCTTCATTTTTGAACTAATAATGCTAATTTAATCCCAATGCAAAATAAAAAACAAATTATGAGACAAAAATGGAAAAAATAGGTTAAGCAAGTTTCAAGTACCTAAAGAATAGAAAATAGAAAAAAATTTGAGAAAATACCTTGAAGTGAGTTTATATTTTGGAAACTACACCTTTTTTAAAAAAAATTGATATCTACACTTATTAAAAAGTGAAATGACTAAATTACCCTATATAAGAATTATACTAATTTTTATATTTAAATCATAATGTTTTAATTAGAATATATTTACAGATATTCTATGCAAAATAATATATAATTCTTTTTCAAATTATTCTAATAACCAATTCAAATCATATTTAAATAGAATGTCCTTTTTAATTAGAGATGTTTGACAAGAAAAGAATATTTTCTAATTATTGTGTTTAATTGAAAACATGTTCTGTCTTACCATCTATTATCGTAGAAAAGTTTTAGATGATATTCTGGACTTGGATGCTTTTGTTTGTGATGATTTTGTTTCTCTTACTACACATTCATCTTAAAATAAAGAAAATAATAAAAGAGAAGGTCAAATTTGCTTCATAGAAATGAATGTATAGTTAGAAATGAACGTACAATATGGTTCTTACAGTACCTACCAAAATAAAGGTAACGTAGTGCACTTAGATCTATCCAATCACTATTTTTCTGATGAAACAAGAGCACTACTTTATATAAGCAGTATGATAGATTTGGTGTATCATATCATTTAACGTCAATGTTCGCAGGAATTACACCGTAGATTACGTATACATTTATACCATTACCAATATTCTGAAACCAATGTGGTTTTGTATGAAACCATTATTGTTTATTATCCGTTAAAGTTGTTGTGAATCAGAGAGACTACCAAAAATCGAAGGAAGCTATGTTGCTCTGTTTTCTTTTAGCTCTGTTATTTCATAAGAAAACTGAATTGTTTGATGAAACCGTTTAATGTCATCTTTATATATACATTAATTTTGTAGAGATAAATTTAAAAATTCTGAAAGATTATCCAATTGTAAACTATAAAATACTAACTAATTAGTTATCTTTATCTCAAACAAAAACTAACCATAATTTTAATAATTTCAAATTTTTATTTTCTTTCATTAAAATATGTAATTAATTAACTTTGGTCAAAAAAAGTTCTTTTTTACATTTATCAAAAGTGTAGTTTTCCAAAATATTAAAAAGCAGTGTATTTTACTAATTCAAAAAACTTAAAAAATGTATTTTGCCAATTATCCCTAGAAAATAAGAAGAAGAAAACCACAATACCAAAAATAAAATTCAATAAACAATTGAAAAGATAACAAATTATAAAAATATAGAAAAATACAAAACAGAAAGATAAATATTATAACAACAAATAAATCTATAAAATATTAAAGATATCAAAAATATTATGAAATCAGTGATATATATCCGTATATATAGATACAGTATATGTGTGTTAAAAAACCCTAAAAGTGGTTAGAAAGTTGATAAATTAGCACTAAATCATAATTTAGATAAAAGACTTCAAAAAAAAATGGATGAATAAGATTATTAAAATTATCAAAAAATTATAAAAATTAAGAAAAAATTCTAGTCTGTTTAAAACATGATTGAAGTAGATTTAGTATTATGGAGAAAATTATGACTGTAGAAAAATTCTTAAACACTTGCTAATCAACCTCATAATTACAACAACGAACTACAAAAGCATAGGGCCCAATACCTTTGCCACCCTCCCCCTTTCTCAAAATTGGAATGTGCAGGTTTACATACACCCAACTTGAGAAGAAATGTACCAAACTTTTGTTGTCCCGAGGTTTTGGTCATTATATCAGCTAACTGTGTCATTAGAGACATGTATAATTGCGATTGTACATGCCTCGTATAATCTCATCATCCCGGATAAAGTGACAATCTAAACTTGGAGATGAACCATAGGAGGCAGACAATTTATAGATGAGTTTAAAATGTGTTTTCTCGTGGTGGATAATTGTAGGTGTCCTATTTATTAAATAGCTGGAAGCTAGAGTTTAATAACCCCAAAATTCAATCAGCAAGTATGCCTGAAATTGAAGAGCTCTAGCGACATTTAGAATGTGACGATACTTGCGTCCACACATCCATTTTGGAGTATTGATACAAAAAAATTTCATGTATAATCTCGTTTTGAGCAAAACGTTGTCAAAAATAGATGAAAACCATATAATAGTAGCGTCCACAGAAAATAAAAATACAATTAATTTTCTTTTGCAATGAGAAACAATTTTTTATGAAAAAAAATTCAATAAATAATTGAGGAAACAGGAAAAAAAATCAAAAAAATTAAACAAATGTTGCCGATCTTAAACGTTTTCTTTTTTTGTTTTCTCTCTGTCGGGGTGCAATTTTTTTTTTTTTTGAGTTCTTCTTAATTTCCTTTTTGTGAGTTGCTCATAATTTCCTTTTTGATGAGTATAGGAATATAACCAACGGTCGAAATCCCCTTAAATGTCGAAACTGTATTAATATTATGATAATTGATATCACCGACCTAAACCCTAACTAACTCTATATAAGCCTTACAATATCCTTTTTTCTCTCTAAGCGTATTTTCTTTTGTTTTCCACTTTCTCTGTCACTGCAAATTTTTCTTAGTGACTCAATTCCTTCTTTGTAACTCAGTTTCGAAATTTGAAAAAGCTCTGTCTTTGCAAAGAAAGATGCAATCAAACGAAGAAATCGTGAAGTTCTTGGGAGAAGGTGCTTACGGTTTTGTTAATCTCGTCAAGTATACTAAACGCGACGGCTCGTCGTTTCATGCCGCCGTGAAAAACTCTTACGCCGAGGACTTCGAAAATCTTCAAAAAGAGCTTCAGATTCTTTGCCAACTCAGAGGATATCCAAGAATCGTCGAATGCTTTGGAGACTACTTGGAAGAAGGTTTCAGCTCTTACGGAAACAAAGTTTACAAATTGCTTCTCGAGTACGCTTCCGAAGGTAGTTTACGTTCTTTCATGGACAATTACTCCGACAGGAAATTGCCTGAACCGATGATAAGAGACTTCACGCGTATGATTCTCGAAGGTTTGGTCTGTATTCACGGACACGGTTATGTTCATTGCGATCTCAAACCCGACAACCTCCTCGTTATCCCGTCGAGAGATTCTTCATCATACGAACTTAAGATTTCTGATTTTGGAAACTCGTTGGAAGTCGGAGAGATTCCTCATTATTGGCGATTCGATTTACCGTTTGTGGGAACGCCGATTTACATGCCGCCCGAGTCTCTCATTGATGGCGTCGTGGAGAAAACCCTAGATCTTTGGTCGTTAGGATGCTTAGTGTTGGAGATGTACACTGGTGAGATTCCATGGCTTGGTCTCGATATCGATGATCTCGCGTCTCGTCTTCTTTATGATGAAGCTCCGGAGATTCCAGAGTGTGTGCCTTGCGATGCGAGGGAGTTTATTGAAAAGTGTTTCTCGAGGAAACCTGAGGAGAGAGGAAGTGCGTCTGAGTTGTTGTCTCATCGGTTCTTGCGTCGAGAAGAAGATGAGAAGATGGAGAAAGTTATCGCCGTTGTTGAAGAGAGAAGAAACTCATTTCTATTGAAGCTGAAGTTGAGAATCAGAGGAGCTTCGAAGAAATTGGCGGATGTTTCAGAGAAGAAGCCTCTGAAATTGAAGATTGTTCCATCAAAGGCTCCATATTTTAAGAAAGTTTTGACTAAAATCTTGAGGTTGAAGACGATGGATTCTTATCTAGTTTGCTCTTAGTATTGGATTGAATTATATGTTTTTCAGGTATCTCAATCTGTATGTTACGTACAATTAACTGTTGATCTTGTTTCGTCTTTGTAGAATTTGTTGGATAGTTTACATTTTTCTTTGCTAAATGTATGTTTGTGAAAGTGTTAAACTTTGCTTAATCTGAAAAGTTTTTTCTATCTCTAGTAAACTTGATTCCACCACTTCAATCTCTTTCTTAACTTCTTTTGCTTTCTTCATTAGGCACTCACCATTGTTTATCATCTGGTCATGTCAGATTTGCTTAAGGGGCTCTTATAACAAATTTAACCAAAAAAAGTTGGCTTACATGAGTTTTTGGAACACTGGGTTAACCCACCAAATCAACTAAAACAGATCGTAAAACTAATCCCAAGTAATCATCTCTCTGTATTTCTTCCTTAACATTGCTGCAACTATATCCACATTACAGTTGGTGTCAAAGTGGATGACATGTTCATATTGAATCTCAACCTTCACCACCGTCTTATTAATGAAGTAAGCAACTGCAACAACATATATGATTTCACACATTTAGTATATCACCTTCGAAACATACATATGACAAATATTGAAGACACGAAGAAACAGCTCCAGCTTTTTACCAACAAATCCAATATAAACCAAAAGAATGGACAGGAAAAGGCAATCTGGTTTTGTCTTACTATCTATAATCACAACATACAAACAACTATTATATAAAAGATGGAAGAGGCTCTCTCCAAGGATTGACATTTAGCATTTGAGAACCAATAAAAACTTAATATTTATTCTCTTTGTTAATGTATTTTCAAACTATTATATATATATATATATATATATATATATAATTAACAATTTCATCTGATTGTTATCATGGTAAAAAATAATATAAAAATAATATAAAATAAATTCAAATTTAATTTAAATATCATATATGTAGACAATAAAAAATAATATATTTTTTTAATTTCATCTTCTTTTTTTACCATGTGATATACTCATTATATTTGAACTAACACAAATAATATATTCACAAAACAATTGAAAACAAAATAAGTAATAAAACTAAAATAAAAATAATAGGTTAAAAAAATTATAAAAACTGAAGAATTTTTTTACAAAAAAATAAGATCTAGAAAATCACCAAACACAAAAGAACATTCATTAAATAATAAAAAAATAACAAATTATCAAAACTAAAGAGAAAATGATAAAAAAAAACAAAACAAAATAAATTAACAAATAAATATAAATTTTATAGAGACATGTGTAACATAGATAAAATCAATGAAAAATATGTGAAAATAAAACATGAAAATAGTAAATTACAAAAGTGAAAATGGTAGAGAGATCGAGATTTTAATGATAAAAGTAAAATAAAATGAATAGAAAAGATTACTAGATAGGATCATCAAAATATATATATATATATATAAAAGAAATCATAAGACAAATCAAAAGTTGAACTAAAAACTAAAAATATAAGTAAACACAAATTAAAATCTGTCCCAACTATTAATTCCTATAAACTATTTAATTTAACTTTAACATGTTACAAACATTAAATCATGAGCATAGCTTAAATCAAATTTAAATTTAATTTAAAACATTATAAGTATAACTTATATCAAATTTTAATTTAATTTAAAACATCATAAATATATGAATAAAAATGATTTCAAATTTTAAGTTCATCTTATCATTTAATTTTTTGTGTCATTTAATCTTCATTTTCGAACTAATAAAGCTAATTTAATCTGAATGCAAAAAAGAAATATGAGACAAAAATAGAAATAATAGGCTAAGCAAGTTTCAAGTACCTAAAGAATACAAAATAAAAAGAAAATAACCACAATACCAAAAATAAAATTCAATAAACAATTGAAAAGATAACAAATTATAAAAATATAGAAAAAAGACAAACCAGAAAAGAAAAAATAATATAACAACAAATAAATCTTTAAAATATTAAAGATATTAAAAATATACGTAAAAAAGATGAAATCACTGATATATATATATATATATGTGTGTGAAAAAAATCTAAAAATGGTTAGAAAGTTATTAAATTAGCACTAAATCGTAATTTAGATAAAAGACTTCGAAAAAACAACAGATGAATAAGATTATTAAAATTATAAATAATAAAATATGTGATGTACAGTTTTATAGACTTTTACAATATCATGAACTTTGACTGATATGAACTCCCAAAGATTGTCACACGCTTGGTCGGATTGAGGTTGATAGATCATTGACTTTAAGATCGTTCCGATGAGAAAGATGCTAAGGCGTGAGACAGGTCTCGAAAATCCTTAGGCCCAATTGCAAAGAAAAGAGTAAACAAGGGGGTGAAACAAGAGAAAAAGTGAACACGCGGTTATGGATGTTAAGGCGTGAGAAAGATTGTTTCCCGAAAGTCCCTAAGCCCCAATAACAACTACGAAATCCCTTTAATCTGTTGTGAACGAAGGCTGCGTCAAACTCGATGAAGAGAGCTTGATAAACCGAAGTGATCTAATGGCTAACTACCAAGAAATCGATAAAGTTCTGAAAGAACATGTTGGTGGTGTACTTCGCACCCCGGTTTAATCCGGTATTAATCGAGACCGGTCGAGAGAGACCTTGGTTTACGAAGGTTGGAATCGAGGTTAAATCGGGTGGGCCGACATACGACTTTCTAAAAGGTCCATTAAAGTTCAATTTACGAAATTGGCAAACTTTCCGAATTTCACGGAGGATTTCCGGAAATATCGAGGAAGAAAATGTTAAATCCCATATCGAGAAGGAAAAGGAAAGTTCTTCTCAAACCGCCTTAGAATTCGTATAAATAGGGAAGGACTTCATTCATTCGAGGCATCCGCAAATCAAAAGCAGAGAGACCTTTGAAGAACTTTGAGATTGTCAACTTTATTTCGAGTTCTCCCTTTGTTAACGAGAACTATGACGACCTCAACTCAAGTTGTATTTTTCCGAACTATCTTCTAATAAAACGAGACTTTCGATTCGAGTATTACTGTTTTACCCCTTAGTGTGATATTATATATCAACAATTGGCGCCGTCTGTGGGGAATTACGGTAATATTCTAAATCTAGCTCGATAAGAAGAAAAAGTTCGGCAATGGCAGACCTAACTGCTTCCGAAACAAGGAGTGGCAACAACGACAACACTCCGGAAGATCCCAACAGAACAGACCCGAACAATACGGGAACTCCAACGAACCAGACCAATTTACCACCACCCGCACCAACAAACTCCGGGCAGTTCGACCAAAACGTCATTTTACAGGCAATAACAGCTCAGTTCTAGGAGATAACAAAACAGAACAATGAACGCTTGGACGTCATGGCGGCCCAAATCGCCGAACTCAGTCAAACGCAAACCTCATTGCGAGGTCGTAACTTAATGGGTGACCTCAACTCAGAAGACAACCCAACTGGAACAGTACGATCTACAGCCTTAGGATCTACTGGCAACCCAGCCACTCAATCCACCTTCAATCGTGACGAAGAATTCGAAGCAACCAGTGCCGCTCCCGAAATCGATCGCGTTATCCAAGAGGCACAAAAAACGCCGTTTACTCCTAGAATCGCTAAAACTCCTGTTCGACATCTTGAGAAGTTAAAACTCAAAACTTACGAAGGAGATTCCGACCCAAAGCACTTTCTGACATCTTTTGGCATCGTCATGAACCACTATCAGTTCCGGACGACAGAAAAAAAAGATGCAGTGAAGTGTCCGTTGTTCGTTGAAAATATCCAAGGAGTCGCTCTCGATTGGTTTAGTCAACTTGAAGCGAACTCCATAAACAGTTTCACCGAACTCTCGACAGCGTTCGTTAAACATTTTTCGATGTTTATCGGGCAGAAGATGCAAAATGCCGAACTATGGCGAATGGTTCAGGGAGAAAACGAGAGTCTCCGCGACTTCATCAAACGTTTCAAGTCAGTTGTCGCCCATTGCACGGTCAGCGACGAGGCCGCCCTCGAGTGTTTGCACAAGGCAACTCGGATTAAGTCATCTTTCCACAAAGCGATCAAACACAACCCACCGCTTACACTTGAGGACGGACTACATCGGTCGAACTCATATATTACAGAGGAGGAAGAGAAGACCGCCTACGATCAGAGCAAATCTTCACAAAAGCAGGTCGACCCAAAAGAGAGACCTAAAAATGACAATAACGAGCCACGTCCGACCTACGACAGAGGATTCGACAATCGACGAAAGTTCGCAAGTAACAATGTCAACTCGGCTCAACCACAGCGACCATGGAACAACAAATGGATTCGCGGTAACGACGATCAAGACGAGACATTGTTCTGCGAATTCCAGAACCGTAAAGGACACAACACCGAAGAATGCCGACACTTGAAAGATTACCTCCTAGAACAATTCAGGAAAGGATTAATTTCGATGGACGATGTTCGCCGAACTCCTTTCCAACGCAACAATGAAAAGCAAGAGTGACCTAATACAGTCACAAACAAAAGGATCCAAGACACCGCTGGTACAACCGAAACAGATAATGTCACATTATTTTAAGAGGAAGGTCGCATTATTACAAAATAAAGGGGAAAGAGCTGGATTTATTTAAAAGAAATAAAAAGGAGTCGGCGAAGTTGCAAGGTAGTGGTCAGCATAATTAAAAGGAAATGGGCTTCAAAAAGTGGACTTGCTGATTGGTCAATTAAGTTAGGTTCCACTAAGCTTTAGAAGAAAATAAAGCAGGTCGGCCATTTTAAGTTGTGATGCTAACAGTTGAAGTCGCCGAACTTAAAAGAAAAACGAACTAAATAAAAAGTTAGAGAGAGAAAATTCTAGAGAGAAGATAGTGCTTTATACCTTGAGTGGTGGGGAACAAGTGAAGAAATGAAAATGAAGGGAAGTATTTATAGAGGATTGAGGCCCGTTAGAAAGCCCGCACTAAATAGAGTCTGTACAAGAAAGCGGTCAAAAGATGGAGGTTGCACCAAGTGGCACAAGGTTAGAGCGATAAGAGATTTTTTCCACCAAGTTATTTCCGGTCTCAATTTAAACCGAGTTAAAAGAGTCCATGAATTTCGCCGAACTCATAAAAAAAAAACTCCTTCGATGAACTGAGGGGGGGGGGGACTTACTGTTGGTGGTGTACTTTGCACCCCCGGTTTAACCCGGTATTAATCGAAACCGGTCCGGAGAGACCTTGGTTTACGAAGGTTGGAATCGAGGTTAAATCGGGTGGGCCGACATACGACTTTCTAGAAGGTCCATTAAAGCCCAATTTACGAAATTGGCCGACTTTCCCGAATTTCACGGAGGATTTCCGGAAATATCGAGGAAGAAAATGTTAAATCCCATATCGAGAAGGAAAAAGAAAGTTCTTCTCAAACCGCCTTAGAATTCGTATAAATAGGGGAGGACTTCATTCATTCGAGGCATCCACAAATCAAGAGCAGAGAGACCTTTGAAGAATTTTGAGATCGTCAACTTTATTTTGAGTCTCCCTTTGTTAACAAAGTCGTCGAAACTACGACGACCTTAACTCAAGTTGTATTTTTCCGAACTATTTTCTAATAAAACGAGACTTTCGATTCGAGTATTACTGTTTTACCCCTTTAGTGTAATATTATATATCAACAGAACAAAAGAGAGAAACTCGAAATTTAATTGAAAAAAAGATGTGTCCAAAATGACAAGTACAATTCGCTTATATAGAAGTGTAGGCAAACCATCGGTCATGCTTAGGAAATGATAAAAAACAATAAATAAAGTTAAAGAAACAATAAAACGGTTTGAATAACGATTCGGCTCCCTTGACTGGCTCTTCGCATACTCAGCCGAATCGGACTCTTGAACTCCCGTCCCACGAACCAAGCATCGGCTGAACCACGGTCATAAGAATGGTGTGGCCCTTAACCTCGTTAAAACCCCACCCGGTAAACCCATTGGGAAAAACCCAGGTGCAAGAAAAAAGAGTATTAAGGAACACACCTAACCGAGTTAGCAAGTACCTTGGTACGTAAGAACGGTACTGGGACAAGCACCTGGTTCCATGTCTCGGCCCATTCCTTGGTCTCTTAGCTTGATGAGCAAAATCTAGACGGCGTCCGCGAGCTTTCTGGTGCGTGACCGGGTCATTGGGCCGTCTGGTACGACAAGGGCCGTCTCGGAAACCTCCTCTTCGACCTGTGGTTTTTCCTCGCGGTCCATGATCATATCATTTACATCCATTAATTTTTTTTATAATTTTTTTGTAAATTGCCATAACAATAATTAAAAAATGATAAATATATAATATGAAAATTTTCTAGGTATTATCAATGTTTAAAATTGCGCTAGACGCTAGTTGGACGTTGGAGTTGGGCCTAGCACTAGCTAAAAAATTAGAGGTTAATAAATAATTGATCAATGATTAGTTTTAAGGTTTTTAATAAAATATTTATTTAATATCAAAATAATCAAATTTTGCTGTAATATATTAAATATCTTTGTAGCACAGTTGTTAATTTATATGCATGATGACAACACTGGTGGGGTTCAAATCTCTTTTATGTTTATAGCTTTTTTTTAGTAAATATATCAATAATATATAAGAGCAAAATAATAAATTGCCATAATTTTTTCTCCAACGTCAATTAGGTTTTTGCAAACCAATGTGGCCGACAAGAGCTTTTTAGCTAGTTTTCCATCAGTTTGATCTTAAATTAACCTGCGCTTGAGAATTCAATAGTTCATTTGGCATCCAATTTCATATATCGAGCCAAATATTCTGCACAACAATTTTTTTCCCGATTTTTCCTCTGATTTTGGTATAATCGCGGGGGAGGTCTACCGCCTAGCGTTTAACCGGCGCCTAAGCGTCCTCCGCGGCCGACTTTTCGAACACAGGGTATTATATATATTATATATATATATATTATTGAAATTCATTCTTTTAAATAATTTTGTTTATTAGTAGTTACTAACAAATCAACTTTGTTTCGTGTTTTAATCTGAATATTTTTTTTTATTGGAAATAAAAAATAATAGCATTTTGTTACGATGAATAGACCATCCATTACAAATGACTCAAAAAAAAATAAAACATATACAAATCCTAAAAGTTGTCTAGTTACATGTTAGCAGTTTTGAGAGGGGAGTGGAATGCAGAACCAAAGGTAGAGCACGGTTTTAGGGATCGATCAGGGTGTTCATTCCGGAAAAAGGAGGCACGGTTGCGAAAGAGTTTATCCCATCTGAGAAATAGAATAAAAATCGACAGCCTGTCATTAGAAATATTTTTTCACGTTATATTTTGTATAATGATAAGAATCATTACGACATGAAGAGTGATGCGAATGAATGAGTGGCGACCACTTAAAGACTCGATCCCAATCTGATGGAAAATAAAACTGTCTCATCCGAGCCATATATAGCAGCCGATCATACGAGATTAGAAAACTAACATATGAGAATAGATTAATAGCACCAAGAAGGGAGGAGGTGTTTCTTGTGTTGTCCCACGCTGCTAGACGATCTCGTGTTGGATTACAGTTGACGGTAAAAAGCCAGGTCGTGAACTTGTATTTCAGAATAGTAACTCCATGCAGGACCAAACTAAAACTATATACTCAATTGAGGGTTTTAAAGTCACAAAGAGTTCCAAAAATAACGTCCATTTAATAAAAATTGTACGTTATGAACCATCCACAATCCAGAAGGGTTTATTCTATGCTTCCAACATAGTTATCGAGAGGAGAGAAGTTTGAAGGCTAATCTTGCGTGAGGAATCAGCTCCCAAACATTTGAGACATGCGAGTAGTAAGGAATACCAAGTATGGAGAGACCACCTACATTGATGTTACCAATAGACAGCGTTGGCATCTTGGACCAGAATTTGGTGCTCTTCCCATTGCTAATCAGACGGTTTAATCAAGTGGCACTTTTTAAAGTACTCACAAACCGTTTTATATTGACATTTTTGGATTTACTCATTTCTAATGAAGGTTTACCTTTTAGAAATAATCAAAAGTTTTTTTTTTGAAATATTTAACTAGTGGCAATATTTTGTATTCTTATATTTTCAATACCAGCATATCATGTATACGTTATAATATTTTATCATAACTAAAAAAAAACACAGGGTTTGAAGTTTTGTATTTGTTACTCGCAGCAATGAGACAAGTCATATTTTGCTTATGGAAAAGAGGTTGCTGCATTCATCAGTAATATAGATTACAACTTGTATATAATGTAAGCTAAAGGAGAAGGGGCACGGAAATTAAATTTAAAAATCCTTACCAATTATCGAATTTACATGTAAATGGTAATTTGTGTTGAGTTTCAATAAACCATGCATATATTAAATTATAATTGAGGAACATATATTCTTACGCAGAAGTGTACAGGTATATATCGTGTGAAGCTCTATATACGTAAGAGAAATATGATGCATGACGTAAAACTCCAAGCTATATTGTCTAATTTGTTTATTAGGGATAACTCGGTTTTTGATTAGAAATGTTATTATTTATTAAAGAAAAGGAGTAGACAGCGAGGTGGAGAACATGCACGGAGGATCAATTAAATGCAAATGTACGTAACGAGCTTACTTGAATTTCCATGCACATTTCCCATGCACTCAAACCCTTGTATATAAACCCCTCCAAGTTCATCATTTAATCATCATCAAATTAAAACCCTACAATCTATCAGCGAAAGCAAATGAGAAACTAGAAACCATAGACAACAAAATACAAAACTCAAAACCATGGCCATTCCAAAAGCTTACTACTCTTTAGCCATCCTTGTCATTCTCTTTGCCGTTACGAGTTGCCAAAATGTCTGCAATCCAGCATGCAAGGCTAAAGAACCCTTCAACTGCGACAATATTCTTACATTCAACCGAACTGGATTCCCAAAGAATTTCACTTTTGGTGCGGCTACTTCTGCATACCAGGTATATAGATACATCTTCATCATGGTATAAGGCTTTTGGCTATCGATTTCTAGCTAGACCGAATCACTTTTTATATGATATATTTGTTCTACCAGATAGAGGGTGCTGCACATAGAGCACTCAATGGATGGGACTATTTCACTCATAGATATCCAGGTCATTTTTTTTTTTTGAACGACTATCCAGGTCATTTGTTACCCGTATTATTAACTGCTCGTCCATGTATTAAAAAGTGTACAAATATTAGAAAGAACTGGTCATGCTCATATTCCGGTTTGCTATGTACAGAAAAAGTTCCAGATCGTAGTTCTGGAGACCTTGCTTGTGATTCGTATGATCTTTACAAGGTGAGCGGCTTTCAATTACGAATGTCTTGTGTGTAGATATGGTATTTGTTCCATTTCCAAAATGTAATTTAACTCTGGAACTTTCATATATAACATGAACAGGAGGATGTCAAATTACTAAAAAGAATGAATGCTCAAGCATACCGACTCTCGATAGCTTGGTCAAGGGTCTTACCAAGTAAATATATAAGAAAAAAACATACTTATCTCTTATTTTTTCTTCAAGGCTTGATCTAATTGTAAAACTAATCTTAGAGGGAAGACTGACTGGAGGAATCGACGAGAATGGGATAACATACTACAACAATCTCATTAACGAGTTAAAAGCAAATGGTAAATCCCAAATTTAGATACTTAATCATACAATTTTCAACGTTTTAAAGTGATATAAACATTTAACTTAACGTGAATACAGGCATAGAACCATATGTGACTATATTTCACTGGGATGTTCCCCAAACTTTAGAAGACGAATACGGAGGCTTCTTAAGCCCACGTATAGTGTAAGTGCATTAACTAAACTTTAATTCTAAACTTATGTCTTCTTATCCTTAATTACATAACATCTGATCTATCTAAATCTAATATATGTGATACATGAACAGGGAAGACTACAAAAACTATGCTGAGCTTCTATTTCAAAGATTCGGAGACAGAATCAAATTTTGGATCACTTTAAACCAGCCTTACTCTCTCGCAAGCAAAGGTTATGGAGATGGATCGTATCCACCAGGACGGTGCACTGACTGTGAATTTGGAGGAGATTCAGGAACCGAACCTTATATAGTTGCACATCACCAACTTCTGGCTCATGCAGAAGCTGTATCTTTGTACCGAAGAAGATATCAGGTTCATATACACAATCTATCCTGATTATTTTTTGATCGAGAACAGTTCAATTTTTATGTGGTATATTCATTGTCTATAATCTAAAATTATCTATGCATGCAGAAATTCCAAGGTGGTAAGATTGGAACAACCCTGATCGGAAGATGGTTCACCCCATTAAACGAAACTAGCATTCTCGACAAGGCCGCTGCAAAACGAGCATTCGATTTCTTCGTCGGATGGTATATATACTCTCACCTAATTGATTCTCAAATCACTTATATATACACACATCTATAAAATTACATACGAAATATTTTTCTAAAACCTTTGTAACCAACATATCTACTTTGCAATATGAAGGTTCTTGGATCCATTGGTGTACGGAGACTATCCAAAGATAATGCAAGAGATTGTTGGAGATAGATTGCCTAAATTCACAAGTCAAGAATCAGCTTTAGTTAGAGGATCACTTGATTTTCTAGGGTTGAACTATTACGTTACACAATATGCGACCGATGCATCTCCTTCTATTCCGACTCAACCTAATGTCTTAACCGATCCACGAGTTACTATCGGATGTACGTAAAAATTTTGTGCATATTTCTTATATAGTTTAGACATATTAATTTACTAAACTCATTTTTCTCTAATATATTGGTTACAGTTTATCGCAATGGAGTACCTATTGGTGTTCAGGTTAGCATCACCTTAAATTTGGAATATATATAATTTATATTTAGAGGACTACAACTACAACATTTATATGAGTCTCTCTCTCCATCTACAGGCACCAAGCTTCGTCTACTATCCTCCAGGGTTCCGCCAGATTCTAAATTACATCAAAAACAACTACAAAAACCCACTTACCTACATCACCGTACTTATTACACATCATACCAATTACCACACGTACTTATTAACCAATAAAAACCTTTTATATGTGTTTGATTTTACAATCTTGTGTTATTTTTTCAGGAGTTGCTGATCTTGATTTGGGAAACTTAACACTGGCAAATGCTCTTGCCGATAAAGGGCGAATTCAAAATCATTGCAGCCATCTTTCGTGTCTCAAATGCTCCATCGAGTGAGTTATAATATATGATTCCTACTTTATTTCATATATTATATACTTCTTTTGAGAAGTATGAATTTCAAGACGCCAACATTATTTAACATATATATTATAGGGATGGATGCAACGTAGGAGGATATTTTGCATGGTCATTGATGGACAATTACGAATTTGGAAATGGTTACACTCTCCGGTTTGGTATGAATTGGGTCAATTTCACTAATCCTGCTCATCGAAGAGAAAAGGATTCTGGCAAATGGTTCTCTAAATTCATCGATAACAACAATAATTAAGGGAAGTGCTATGTATAAATAAAAATTCCATGTATCAAACCTTGAATCTAATAACAATTGTACTATATATATATATATAATATGTAATGTTTATTTTATTTTTTTTATTAATCAATGCTAATGTGCTGTGTATGTGTAGTATTCAAACTTAAAAGTATATTATATATGGAGCTTGTATTATTCTTAATTCTCGGTCAATTCATACATAACATAAAACTTAAAAGTATATTATATATATGGAGCTTGTATTAATCTTATTTTATACTCTTGCAAAGCATAACTTCTCAAAACTGTTAAACTTGGTCCAATTTGATATAGTTACCATGTTTGTATAACATAAGAGCCAGCCAAAAGAAGTAACGCCTGATTTCATAGCATAATTAGAAAGATTCTGTTTATTCGAGCAGCAAATGATCGTAAGTTCAGAATATGGTGAGAGTATATTTTGCGATATTTTCTTAAAAAATAAACCATTATTATCAGTTATCACTTTTTGTGGATTGGATGTTGTCAAGCTACAAAATTGTGAAAGAGCTTTCCTATTCATAACGTTGATACGGCAGCGCCTTATATAACAGAAATTGAATTAACTTAAAACGTCGGGCCTGATTGATTATGGCTATAGCTTTATATTTTTGCTGTAGAATTTAGGTCCTAAGTTTTTTTTTTTTTGGCTGTAGATTTTAATGCTCTAGGATTCTGGCTGTAGGTTTAAAAAAAAATTAAGGGCGAGTTGCTTTTATAATGTACTAGATGAGTATCCGCGCAATGCGCGGCTTTCTTTTTCAAATTATTTTATACCTTTTATTGTTTTGTGGTTTTATTTTCTTTTTCATTTTGTATATATCATTGTTTTTATTCCCATTGTTTATATCTTTAGATAGACTAATAGTACTTTTTTGTTTTGTTCTTTGTTATGTAACTGAAAGTTAAGATATACGTACATTGAGTTTTTTTGTTCAGACTGTAAATGAATGATTAGATATAGAAGAATTATTGCCATCTACTGTGTTTTGTCTGTCTTTTTCTTCTTCTTTGAGGGTTTTAGTTAAGGTCGAAATAGCCAAATCAAATTATACTGCATATATATGCACATCTAATTTTCAGCAACTCAGTCACCCTGCAAGGATCAAGTGACTACCCCTTCTTTATTTTGTTCTCTTCTCAGTGATAAGAAAGTTATTAAGAAAGCATCACAACTGGTCAAAACTAATACGTTTGAAGAGGTCTTTCCTTTATACATTTTGAAGAGGTCTTTCCTTTACACATTTATTACAAATTTTTGTAAAATAAGAAAACATGATTTTTTTTCTACATTTGCCAACACAAAGAAGAGAGACAAAATCACTAAAACGCAAGAAGGTGATAATTTGAGGATATAACATTTTACCAGGGGAAGGATTTGTACATAGAGAGGTGTTTGAATTACCATACTACTAACACTTTTCCAATGACTATGTGATCACACTAAACATAACCTCTTCCATGAGTGGATTTTTCTGATACGGAAGCTTCTTCGCTAATGCTGCCTCAATGTGAACAACCATTAGTTTCTAGTCAAAGACACCCAAATACTCAGGCAAATCTATATTAAAGACAGCAAATCCAAGATAATTAGTGAATTACTACCACTTCATAGCTTCTCTCTTTCCATACATACTTAACTAAGAGCTTTTCAGTGATGATGGTAATTCAAATTATTCCAATTGTTTATAACTCTAAATATTCCATACTACATCAAAACTCGAGCTATTAATGAATAGTAAAACGAGCAGCATTTGAGAGGATATACCAGTGTCTAGAGACATAAGAATTGAGTGAAGACATGTCTCCAATAATAAACATAAGATTTATGAAACAATCATAGTGATGAAGAGATCTACTAAAGCACATTCAACAGCAAAATCCCTTGAAACAGAATTAGAGACGTAGCTGAATTGAAGGTTTTAGGAAGAAAAAAATAGAAATCAAATGAGAAATGGACCAGATATGTTAGAAGGAGATTGTTAGTGAGTATAGAGGACGTCTCAAACCGTGAGACCCAAACTTAGGCAAATGTGAGTTTTTTCGTTTGCCTTTTTAGTGGATATCTGATTTTTTCAACCTTTATTGTTTCCTCCTAATCCAGTACTAAAATTGATGTCTTCGTCCTACTCCAACACCGCCGAGCCACTGCTAGAAGCTGCCACCACAGTCATTGTTTTCCTCACAGCAAAGCTCCTTGTTTGGAACTGAAATAGATGAGCTTACTTAATAATCATTCAACTGAAATCAGATTCAAAGAAGGAAAGACTGGAATTTTTCAGGAAAGTAGGAGAAGCGACAATGGGGGAATGGCTTGAACACTCGCACATAGCCCTCTTTCTTTCTTTGCCTATCTAATCAGGTGGACTTGTCAAATTTTACAAACCTAAGATTTTGATGAAGAGAGAGAGATGAGACAAGACCTGTATTATTTGTTAACCTCCCTACACGGCTACACGATTGAGAAGAACAAGAAGTCTCCATCTATATGGTGAATTCCTTCTCCTTCGATTCCAATCCCTTCATCAGTCGATCTAGGGTAGGTCAGATTTTTTTGGGAAAAGAAAATCAGAAACATAGAAAATAAATAGACAATCTACAACTAACAGACCTTATCCATCACTCAAATCTGCATGCTTTTAAGGTCTAGAAGATTGATCCATTTTATATACAGTTACAAATTACGAAGCCAAACATTGTAATGATTAGTGCTTTTGAATGATTCTACCTAGAACTGTCTACAATTGAGAAACTGCCATTAAGGTTCAGACAATCGAAAGCAGAATTTTGAAGACGCAAGAAATTTTAAATCGAAATACAATTCAGGGAATGGGAGAAAGACCTGATGCCTTCGATATAAGGAGACATACGCATGATGTTAATAATTATCATCAAATACCGATCCATCTCTTAGCTTGGTCAACTGCTTTGGCTATAAAATTAGCGAGAATCAAAAAAATCTAACAGAGAAAAGTAAAGCGTGGTATTAATAATTACCAACTGGAAATCATTTCGGAGGAGCCTCCATCGATCGCTGATTGTCGAGATGTTCACCAGGCGGTAACGGCTATATACTTGGTGTGGAGCGTGAAAGGATGGTGGGGTTTTGGAGGATGGACACTTTACACAAACAAACAATCAGATGCGAGGATCTATAGATCGATCGACCCAATATGAAAATTAAAAAACGATGAACAAAGTAAAATAAATGGAAAAGAGAAGGAATGAAAGATATGGAGTTCAGGAATCACCTGAAGAAGAAACCACGCGAAGGAAGAGGACAACGCCCAAGTGCAGAAAGATTTTTATATTCCTAAGCAACTAAAACGACGGGAGACGGTGAGTTTCATTTGTTTCCAAATCGTAACGTCACAGAGAATAAGAGACGACGAGAATGTTGCTTTTTTTTAAAGGTGGACAGGTGTCACTCTCACAGATGCTGACGTGTCGAAAATCTGGAGAGAGTTTTTCCTCTTTTATATATAAGATTTTCAATTAACACTTGTCCCTTTAATATTTTCTATTTTTTGATCATTTTTTTACATAGTTGCCCTTTTAAATCAATTATGGTAGTTGTAATAATAAATAAAATCAAAATTATTCTTTAAAAATTTTAGAAATACCTAAAAAGGAAATCAAAATATTTTCGGATATCATTTAAGGAAATAAAATATTAAAAAATATATTTTTATTAATTCATTCTGCCCATGGTAGAATGTGTGTTATATGTTCTACGTCTATGTAGAATCCAATTTCTATACTTTTTTATATATTCTACCAGCTTGTAGAATTCATTTTCTATAGATCTTTATATATTCTACCGATTAGTAGAAAACGTTATATGTTACATATATTCTACATTAATGTAGATTACAAGATCTACTGAATAGACTATATTCTACATGTTAGAATTTTACTAAATACACAAGGTTCTACATTCTCATAGAATATTAATTCTACTTATTAGACCAGGTTCTACGTTATTGTAAAACAGTTCTTCTACATATGATCTTCATTCTACATTAACTTAGAATACAACTTCTACCAAAATTTGAGAAAATTGAGGAAATTAGTTTATACCCATTCAAAAATCTTTTAATTTTATTTTTTCCACGTTTATTATCTATTTTTTGAGCTTTTTTGTTTCTTTTTTTCTCTGTCATCGTTGTCTTCTTTTCTTCCCCATTGATCAAGCAGATTTAATCCTGATCCAATACCTTATTCATTTTATTGACTAAAAATTTATCATTAAAGTGATTTGAAACCCATAATTAATCCTTAATCCTGATCCAATACCTTATTCTAAAGAGATCCGTCTTAGATTCTCACTTGTGGATTTTTTTAATTGAATAATGTCATGCTGACTATACACCCAGAACTTGGTCACGTACGATTAAGCTTTTCACGTTTTTAAGCATTTTTTATTTTCAAGTTTTTTTTTTTTCACGTTTTCTATCTTTTTTATTTTTCTTATATTTTATTTTTAATTTAAATTTAAATAAATTTATGAATTAAATATTTTTTTTAATTAATAATTTGAAAATTAAGGGATAAAACTGGGTTAACATTAATATAAATAATAAGGGGACAAAAGTTTTTTTAAAAAATACTAAAAGAATAAATCTGGATTTAATTAGCATTATAAAATAAATTCTCCCAAATTAATAAGTAACCTCAAAATATTCTAAACCCAAAATATTATAGAGCATCCATAATAAAAATCTATAAAAATCTTCTAGAGAGTCTTTCACTATTAAAAAAAGAAGAACATAAAAAGAAAAGAGAGATAGTGAAATAAGTTTTTTTTATTTGAGAGATTTTGAGAGACTCATGTAAAACTCTTGAGCTATGTATCTTTTTATTATTGGTTTGATTTTCTTTTTTAAATTAAAATTTAATTAAAAAATGAAATTATATTAGAATACTAATATTATTTTGGTGATAAATTTTGTTATGTTATAAATATTAATATGGATGCCCATTATAAGGTTCATTATTAATATTGTATTTGTCCCACATCGGAAACTTGGAGTGATAGCTAGGTTTTTGTAATATTATATATACCTCACTTTATCTCTGGAATAAGACACAACAATTTTCTCTCCCTCTTGATAACTGATTCACAACTTTTTTTATTTTCTTACAACTGCAGATGGTTTTAGTATTGTAGGTATTTTTCTCTTTGGGGTCCAGAAGAAAATAAAAAGAAAAAAAAACTGTAATGTCAAATAATCTAATATATAAAAGATGAAAGAGGCTCTCTACGAATTGACATTTAGCAATTGAGAGCCAATAAAAAATTAACATTTATTTTCCTTATTAATGCATTTGCAAACTATTATATATATATATATATATAAATCAACCATTTAATCTGATTTTTAATATGGTAAAAAATAAATTATAAAAATAATATAAACTAAATTCAAATTTAATTTAAATATCATATATTTATACATTAAAAATAATATAATTTTTTAAAATTTCATTTTTTTTTTACCATGTGATATACTCATGAGACTGCATTTTTGTATTGTTTTATTAGAATTTGGGATTTGGGATAAAGATGTGCAAATTGGAACAAAAATACTATTTTGGATAAATGCAGACCGTCAGAACTCTCATGGAGAGACAGAGACTTTCTCACCGTCCGATCACCCTCAAAATTGGACAACTTATAGAAGACTCAACCAGCTTTCAAATGCACTTAGTTTGGAGACATTCCAACGGTTGGATCTCAAGATATTCTATTTGTCCCGGAGACACTCGAAGACAGCAGCAAGTCACGCGACCGCGGCCAAGCCTTCATCTCCCACGGTTGCAACACACGCGATCGCGGCCAGGCATCTCCGACCTAAATAGCACATTTCTGAAGCCCAAGTCATTTCCCAGCCTCAATTCCAGAACCCTAGAGACCATGCAGTATTGAAGACTATAAATACTTGTCATTTATGTCGTTTTTAGACATCACCTTTCATATTTTTACAGAAACTCTTTTTCTCAGCCGTTTTTAGATAGAAATGGTCATCCAATAATAAGGGGATCCTTAGGTTCTCTCTCTAGTCTAACATATAAAAGGAGAAGGGGGCTCTCCCACGTTGACACGTCAGCCCCCCTCATTGGTCCATTTAAGTTTGTTTTTCCACATCAACATTTAATATAAAAATAAATCATTAAACAACATCAATATATATAAATTACTTAATTTACATTTAACTATGTTAAATTAAAATTAAAGCAGAAATTTAGAATAAATAAAATTCAAATTTATTAAAATATAATGATTATGTTTTAATTTTTTTGTTTATGATTTAATCATCTTTAAACTACAAAAATACGTCAATCAATAAAAAAAGTTTTGAGACCATTAAAATTTTTTCAAGCAACTGAAGAAATGTAAACAAGAACTATAAAACCACAAGACACAATAATAATTATTCGAAAAGATAAGAGAATATCAAAATTAGAGAGAAAAATGATTAAAAAAATATGGTTGCAAATAAATATACAAAATTTTAAAAGTACTGAATGGAAAATAGATTTAATGAATATATGTAATAACAAAATATGAAAATAATAAACTGAAAAAGTTTAAGTGTTATATGAGGTTTAAATAAAAAAAATCAGAAAATATATGAAAGAAGTTATCTAATACATAAAAGGAGAATCGAGGCTCTCCAGCGTTGACACGTCAGCCCCCCTGATTAATCTATTTAAGTTTGTTTTTCCACATCAGCATTTAATATAAAAATAATCAAAGCTAAAGTTAATTCATTAAACAACATAAATATATATAAATTATTTAATTTAGATTTAGCTATGTTAAATTAAAATTAAAACAGAAATTTAGAATATTCAAATTTATTAAAATATAGTAATTATCTTTTCATTTTTTTTTTATGATTTAATCATCTTTAAACTAACAAAAATACGTCAATCAATAAAAAAAGTTTTGAGACCAAAACTAAAACAAATCATTCAAATTTTTTCAAGCAACTGAAGAAATGTAAACAAGAACTATAAAACCACAATACACAATAATAACTAATCGAAAAGATAAGAGAATATCAAAATTAGAGAGAAAAATGATAAAAAAATATGATGGCATATAAATATACAAAATTTTAAAAGTACTGACTGGAAAATAGATTTAATGAATATATGTAATAAAAAATATAAAAATAATAAATTAAAAAAGTTTAAGTGTTATGTGAGGTTTAAATAAAAAAATTCCAAAAAATATATGAAAAATTTACTAAGATTATTAAAAATGTAAAATAGGAAAAAGAAAATTATGAGGTTATAATTGAAACCAATATGTTTAATAAAAATAATAAGCTAAAGAAAATCTATTAAACAAAATAAAAAGATATAAACTATGTAATTTATAGTTAAATATTTTTAATTAAAAGTATTAAAGTATAAACTAATAGTAAATAAAATTTAACTTTGTTAAAGTATACTAGGATACTGGCCCGCACGCATGTGCGGGCTTGAATAGTTTTAAAAATTTTAAATGTATTGGGTATATTGTTAAGTTTATTGGGTTGAATTCTATAAAATTGATAATTGACAGTGTGTGTGAGTACAATGTTACTACATTTAGGTCTAATGGTATGTTATTAGTACAAGAATTGGATTGTGAATTACAATTGGCTATACTTTTTTTTTATGTAAATATAAACAATAAGTGATGTATAACTGATTAAGTAATTATAATTAGGTATGTATAATGAAGAAAGTGTATATGAAGAATACATGTAATTATGTATACATACATTAATTTTATGTTCATAAATCGTAAGTTATTCATCGAAATGTGACATATATGAAAATATTTTATAGATTATATGCGAAGATGTATTCATTTATTTCGAAATGTAGATTCATTTGCAAATGGTGATAAATCAGTCAAATGTTATTTAATATGTTGTAATTATAAACGACTTTTAGGGAATATGAAACAGAGCAAAGAAAAATGAGGAGTCACTCTCTAAGAATTCTATATATACACCCCATAAGAGAATTTTGATCAACTAACCAAGCAAACAATTAGTCACTCAAACTCAACCCATACTACAATTATTCTTCTCATGTGATCTTCTGATAGACGTACAAAAAATATGTTTAAATGAAAGAAATATACACTTTTTCCTACATAATATTTTTTGTGCATCTATCGAGAATCACATCAGAAAACGTTATTATATTCATTGTGTCGCCAGAGAGTTATTATAATTATATTACTTGTGAATGCTCACTTTCGACAGGAAGTATACTGTTAGTACTTTATAACAAAATCTGGA